GTAGTTTATATTGTTTCATTTGTTTGGCAGGTTCATTCTGCAGCTACACTGCTGGACAAAAATAATTTGATCAAATATGACCGTAAAAGTGGATATTTCCAAGTCACGGACTTGGGTCGCATTGCTAGCTATTATTACATAACACATGGAACAATATCTACTTACAATGAACATTTGAAGTCCACTATGGGTGATATTGAGCTATGTCGGCTGTTCTCTCTTAGTGAGGAATTTAAATATGTTACGGTTCGGCAAGATGAGAAGATTGAATTGGCAAAACTTCTAGAACGTGTTCCAATTCCTGTCAAAGAGAGTATTGAGGAGCCCAGTGCCAAGATAAATGTTCTACTCCAGGCCTATATTTCACAGTTGAAGCTTGAAGGGCTGTCTTTAACATCAGACATGGTATTCATAACTCAGGTTTGTTTCTATATCAACTTCCTTTTTCATTTTCTACAATCTACATATGGTCTCTTCTTAATTTCTGGTTATTGTTTGATTTGGTAATTTAAGTGTTCGCTTTGTATTTTGTAGAGTGCTGCACGGCTCATGCGTGCACTATTTGAGATTGTTCTTAAAAGAGGGTGGGCCCAGCTAGCTGAAAAGGCTTTGAAATGGTGCAAAATGATTAGCAAGAGGATGTGGAGTGTTCAGACTCCCCTTCGCCAGTTCCATGGAATTCCAAATGAAATCTTAATGAAGCTGGAGAAACACAATTTGGCATGGGAAAGGTATTATGATCTTTCATCACAAGAATTGGGGGAGGCCATCCGCTTTCCGAAAATGGGAAAAGTACTGCACAAGTATGTTCATCAGTTTCCAAAGCTTAACCTTGCTGCCCATGTCCAACCTATCACTCGCTCAGTCTTAAGGGTGGAACTCACAGTAACTCCAGATTTCATATGGGAGGACAAAGTGCACGGATATGTGGAGCCTTTCTGGGTTCTTGTGGAAGACTGTGATGGAGAGTATATACTTCATCATGAGTACTTCATGCTGAAAAAGCAATACAGTGATGAGGACCACACACTGCACTTCACTGTTAAAATTTATGAACCATTGCCGCCACAATACTTCATTCATGTGATTTCTGATAGGTGGCTAGGATCTCACACTGTCTTGCCGGTTTCTTTCCGGCATCTTATTTTGCCAGAAAAGTATCCTCCTCCAACTGAGCTATTGGACTTGCAACCCCTTCCTGTGACTGCACTGAGAAATCCTGCGTATGAAGCCCTCTATCATGAATTTAAGCATTTCAATCCGGTCCAGACTCAGGTCTTTACTGTTCTGTACAACTCAGATGATAACGTATTGGTTGCAGCTCCAACTGGTAGTGGGAAGACCATATGTGCGGAGTTTGCTGTTTTGAGAAATCACCAAAACGGGTCTGACAGTACCATGCGTGCAGTGTATATAGCTCCAATAGAAGCCCTTGCCAAAGAGCGTTATAGTGATTGGAAGAAGAAATTCGGTGAGGGCCTAGGGATGAGGGTCGTTGAACTTACTGGGGAGACTGCGACTGACCTAAAACTTCTTGAGAAGGGACAGGTTGTCATTAGCACACCTGAGAAATGGGATGCTTTATCTCGCCGATGGAAGCAGCGGAAGCATGTGCAGCAAGTGAGCCTTTTTATAATTGACGAGCTCCACCTGATTGGGGGCCAGGGTGGTCCAGTCCTTGAAGTGATTGTCTCCAGGATGAGATATATTGCAAGCCTGCCGGACAAAAAGATCCGGATTGTCGCTTTATCAACTTCCCTGGCAAATGCCAAGGATTTAGGAGAATGGATAGGGGCTACTTCTCATGGTCTCTTCAACTTCCCTCCTGGTGTCAGGCCTGTCCCCCTTGAAATACACATTCAGGGTGTTGATATCTCCAACTTTGAGGCCAGGATGCAAGCTATGACAAAGCCCACTTATACTGCGATCGTCCAGCATGCTAAAGGAGGCAAACCCGCCATAGTCTATGTCCCTACCAGAAAGCATGCACGACTGACCGCTGTGGATTTGATGACGTACTCCAGCACAGACAGTGGAGAGAGACCGATGTTCTTATCTCAGTCCACGACTGATCTTGAGCCCTTTGTTGAGAGTATCAAGGAACCTATGTTGAAAGAGACATTGAAGTACGGGGTTGGGTATCTGCATGAGGGCTTGAACAGCAACGATCAAGACATAGTGAAAACACTGTTTGAGAACGGTTGGATCCAAGTATGTGTCATGAGTGGTTCAATGTGTTGGGGGGTACCCTTGGCTGCGCACTTGGTGGTGGTTATGGGAACCCAGTACTATGATGGCAGGGAGAATGCTCACACTGATTACCCAGTCACTGATCTGTTGCAGATGATGGGTCATGCAACCCGGCCTCTTTTAGACAATTCGGGGAAGTGCGTCATTCTTTGCCATGCACCACGGAAAGATTACTACATGAAGTTTTTGTTCGAAGCAATTCCAGTAGAGAGCCATTTGCAGCATTATCTTCATGACAATCTAAACTCTGAGGTGGTTTCTGGGGTCATACAGAACAAGCAGGATGCAGTCGATTACCTGACATGGACATTCATGTACAGGAGGCTCACTCAGAACCCCAACTACTACAATCTACAGGGTGTTAGTCACAGGCACCTATCAGATCACCTCTCAGAGCTGGTGGAGAACACATTGACTGATCTGGAAGCAAGCAAATGTGTTTCTGTTGATGATGACTACTTGCTCTCACCAAATAATCTCGGGATGATAGCATCTTATTACTACATCAATTATACCACTATAGAACGGTTCAGTTCTTCTTTGACACCCAAAACAAAGCTCAAGGGTTTACTGGAAATTCTAACCTCGGCATCGGAGTATCAACAACTTCTTATTCGACCTGGCGAAGAGGAATTGATAAGACGTTTGATTAATCACCAGCGCTTCTCTTTTGAGAATCCGAAGTACTCAGACCCACATGTCAAAGCAAATGCTCTTCTGCAGGCCCACTTCTCTAGGCAGGTCGTAGGTGGAAACCTGGCTGCTGACCAACAAGAAGTGCTCCTCTCAGCTAGCAGGCTTCTGCAAGCTCTTGTTGATGTTATTTCCAGCAATGGTTGGCTCAACCTTGCAATTCTTACAATGGAGGTGAGCCAAATGGTTACTCAGGCCATGTGGGAACGTGATTCGGTGTTACTCCAGCTCCCACACTTCACGAAGGAGATAGCAAAACGGTGCCAGGACAATCCTGGAAAGAGCATCGAGACAGTATTTGATTTGCTGGAGATGGAAGACAGCGAGAGGCGTGACCTCTTGCAAATGTCGGACTCACAGCTGATGGACATTGCAAGGTTTTGCAACCGCTTTCCTAACATAGAGATGTCGTACGAAGTTGTGGACAAGGAGAGTGTGAGTGCTGGGGGGGATGAGATCAGCGTGCAGGTCACCCTTGAGCGGGATCTTGAGGGGAGAGCAGACGTTGGCCCTGTTTTTGCGCCAAGGTATCCCAAGACGAAAGACGAGGGGTGGTGGCTTGTGGTCGGTGATCCCAAAACTAACCAGCTGCTTGCCATCAAAAGGGTCTCCCTTCAAAGGAAGTCAAGGGTCAAACTTGACTTCTCTGCTCCTGGCGAGCCTGGGAAGAAGTCATACACGCTCTATTTCATGTGTGATTCTTACATGGGCTGTGACCAGGAGTATACCTTCACTGTTGATGTGAAAGAAGCCGGGGCTGTTGATTGATACAGAATTAGCAAACACTAGTTAATTTTGTACGGAAAAGTTGCATAACTGCTTGGAGTCGGTTTCTTGGTGATTGTTCAGTTCCCCGTTTTCTTACATGTTTATCTCCTCTATCTTGCACAATGCGGTGTCATCTCTACTCTTTCATTTAATGGCATTTTTGTGAATATCATAATTTTCAAAACTTATGCGTTATTTTTTAAAACTGAAAATTAGCAATGAATTTCTTCTCACAACGGTATGTGTGCATAGAAACACAGGTTTTGTTTTAAAAAAGAATACTTCTTTCGTTCCTTAAATTTTTGTCAACTTTCCCTTTTTAGTTATCAGATTAACTTTGCCACTTTCCTTGTAAATTTAATTTTAATTTAAGAGTCTCACTCGCAATTTATCAGTTAGCAACTTAAGTTAACTTTATATCCACTAGTTAATTGTCTGACTGATGCTTGTAAGTTCTCATGGATGGGGTGAAAATTTTCTTTTTAGTTTACTCATCGACCTCGAAATTCTGTTGCTGCATTTACATGCTTACCCGAAAAGGGTAAACATCATAATTTTGACCAACATACGATCTTATATGCTGTATTCATACATCATACATACTGGAATGCACATGCACGCACAATCAAACATCTTGCCTTTTCAGTTTTTAATGAAATGAGGAAGTGGTTTGTACTTCTTACATTAATGTAGAGAAATGGGTTAAATATCTATTCATTGATGTTGATTCTTAAAAAATTCTGCCTGTTTTTGTAAATCTATAATTCTTCACTACAAAAAAACATTGATTTTGTCAGGGATTTTAGTCAGGGATATTGTCCCTAACATGCTTGTCAGGGATTTTGTTAGGGATTACATAAAAATTCGGTCAAACAGTATTGTCAGGGAAATATCCCCGACTAAATTTGTTTGGGATAATATCCGTAACAAAATCCCCGACTAGACCCTCAAACCGGCCATCAGCCGGAACTTTTTTGGCCGGAATATTTGTAAGGGAAAATATCCCTAACAAAAAAGTTGGGAAAATAGCCGTTTGATTTTGTCAGGGATTGTATCCCTGACAAAATTGAAAATTTAATATTGTCACGGATTTTTCCCTGACTAAATAAAAAGTATACATTTTACAATTGTGTCACGGATTGTTCCGTGACAACAGTTAACGTTGAAAGCAATTTCGACCGTTACACATCCGTGACAAAATCCGTGACAAATATTACCGTTTGATAAAATCCCTAACAAAATCCCTGACAAATATTTCTATATATACTGGTCATTTTGGCTAGTTTCATACCATTCTTATGGTGTATAATTTTATAGAGTATTATAATGTGTTTGTGGAGTCATCAAAATGACGAAATTGGATGAATTTCTAGAGGCAAATGCGTGTTTGAAATAATAAGGTATGTACATGTATTTCTTTGGGATTTTTTTGTAATACATGTCAAATTGAATAGGGTATTAGTTTATTTAAAGCATTACACTTGTTATAATAAATCATTTTAAGTATATAATAGATATTTATGTCCTTAACTAATTGTATCATTATATATAGTTGATTAGTCCATGTATTATGAATTGTTTTAATTCATTTATTAAATGAAGTTTGTGAATATATATTAACTTTAAGTAATTAATGTTAGTGTAGGAATTGAATGGAGCTATTTCTTAATATAATACATCACACACACACATATTGGGAATATACAAAATATATATAAATATATGTAAAATGGACATGTATAAATAATATATATTTATGTCGTTACATAACATTATCATTATTTATAGTTCATTATATATTATGCCTAAGTAATGAATAATGTTAGTGTTGCAATGGGGTTTTTTCTAATATAATATGTCAAATATATTCAGGTATAATGTATAGACAAATTAGAAGTTGGATGTACAATAGGTATGATGAAAATAGAGGTTATCGGACAGAATTTCTTGCCGGTGTTGCTGAATTTCTCGCTTTTGCACTTGGACAAACACAATATAAGGATGGTGATAAAATAAGATGTCCTTGCATTAAGTGTAAAAACCTTAAATACCTTTCTTCTCAGAGTGTTGAATGGCATTTGTGGACGAGAGGCTTTGTTGACAATTATTATAATTGGACTTCTCATGGCGAGCCATTCGACCCATCACTTTTACCACAAACAGTAGGTTCATCTCGTCATGTTCCTAATGAAATGGGTGAATGGGGAGATTATGATCAAATGTCATGGGGCCATCAAATGGTCTACGATATATTTGGTGCTTCAACCTCGCAATTTAACCATAATGTCGAGCCATTGAATAATCCCCCCCAAAGCCAGAGCTCTAATGTCCCACACGGCGATGAGAATCCAAGCTCTTATGTTCCATATTATGTTGATGAATTAGGAGAGAGATTCCAAGATGTCTTAAAAGCAGCCGATCAACCTCTTTATGCCGACTGTGAGGGTCACTCTCAACTATCGGCAGTTACAGAGTTGTTAAACATAAAATCTGAATATAACCTTCCTGAAAATTGCATGTCTAGATTGTTGCAGTCTGTCGGGGGGATGTTACCGCGTGATCATAGTCTTCCCAGTACATATTATGACATGAAACGATTAGTCTCTCAGTTGGGGCTTCCTGTTATAGAAATTGATGCGTGTCCTTCTGGATGCATGTTGTATTGGAAAGATGATGAGATACTAGTCAACTGCAAGTTTTGTGGAATGGATAGATACAAACCTCTTCCACAAACTCGCAAAAAACCGCGGTACAGGTCTGCACTGTCTAAATTATTTTACCTCCCTCTAGCTCCACGATTGAAGCGAATGTATGCTTCAAACGCTACTGCAAAACACATGACATGGCATGTGGAGCATGAAACTAAAAAAGGATTGATGTGTCATCCTTCAGATGGGGAAGCTTGGAAACATTTTGACCGTTGTCATCCTCAATTTGCAATGGAGCCTCGTAATGTTCGTCTGGGATTATGTTCAGACGGTTTTGCTCCATATGGGCAGTTTGGAAGCAAGTTTTCATGTTGGCCTATCATGTTAACTCCGTATAATCTCCCGCCTGATATGTGCCTGAAGAGTCATTTCATATTTTTGTCTTTAATTTGTCCAGGCCCAAAAGATCCGAAAAAGAGAATAGACATTTATCTACAGCCTCTAATCGAGGAGATGAAAGAACTTTGGACTGTTGGGACACCAACATATGATGTCTCTCGAGATCAAATGTTTATTATGAAAGCTGCCATTATATGGACCATTAGCGATTTTCCAGCATATGGGATGCTTTCCGGATGGAGCACTGCTGGTCTTCTGGGATGTCCAGTTTGTATGGAAAAATCTGGTGCAATCTTTCTTAAGCATAGTCGCAAACCAAGTTATTTCGATTGTCACCGCAAATTTCTTCCGGCCAACCATCGCTATCGAAGAGATAAGAAGTCATTCTTAAAGGGAAGAACTGTACGTGACCCCCCACCCCCTAGGCTGTCCGGAGATCAACTTTTGAATCGTGTTCGACGTATTCCTACAGCTATGGAGTTGCCAAACCAAAATCCTGAAGGTTTTTGCGTTACACATAAGTGGACTAAAAGGAGTATATTCTGGGAGTTGCCTTATTGGAAAGACCTTCTCATTCGCCACAATCTTGATGTGATGCATATTGAGAAGAATGTATTTGATAATATCTTTAACACTGTCATGGACTTCAAAAAAAAAACAAAGGATGGTGTAAACTCAAGAAAGGATATTACAGTGTGGTGTGATAGACCTGAACTTGGTGTTGATCCTGAATACCAAGGTAAAACAATTCCAAAAGCAATTTATCAACTCACAAAGGAGCAACAAATTTTAATATTAATGTGGCTAGGGTCTCTCAAATTCCCGGATGGATATTGCTCCAATTTGTCGAGGTGCATAGACGCAGAAAAACTTGTCATGAAGGGCATGAAAAGTCATGATTGTCATGTAATCATGCAAAGACTTCTTCCAATTGCTTTAAGGGACATGCTTCCCCCAAATGTTTGGAATTGTATTACGGAAGTTAGTTTGTTGTTTCAAACATTATGTTCCACTGTTTTGGAGACTGAAGCGCTCAAAGAACTAGAGAAAAGTGTTCCCATCCTAATGTGCAATTTGGAAATGATTATGCCTCCATCATTCTTTGATACAATGGAACATTTGCTAGTACATCTCCCATATGAGGCCATTAATGCCGGTCCTGTCTTTTATCGTTGGATGTACCGCTTCGAGAGGTTAGTTACACCTTTTATAGTTATCCCAACTAGTATATTTTATGGCTGTCTGAATCATAATGAAATTGACTATTTTGTTTATATATATAACAGGTTTTTGAGAGACTTGAAAAAGAAAGTCACTAATAAAGCACATGTGGAGGCGTCGATTTGCCAAGCTTATCTGACTCAAGAAATCTCCACATTCTCATCTTTTTATTTTGAGCCCGGAGGTCAGCCCGGCGGTCAGCCCGGCGGTCAGCCCGGCGGTCAGCCCGGCGGTCTGCCCGGCAGTCAGCCCCACGGTCAACCCGGAAGTGATTTTGATCTCCGGGGATATTTTGCGGATCACGATCATGATGCTCAATTATAATTGAGATTTTTTTTAATGTATTCGAATTTTTGTTACGGAAATATCCGTTGTAAAACAATTTAATTTTTTTTTATGTTTTTGGATTCTGGTCAGAGATTTTTCCCTAACAAGTTTGATATATTTGTGCGCACATAATATATATATATATATTAACATCAATGGCAGTTTCGTAGATTAAAAATAAACATTTGTATGGGATATATCCCTAAGAAGCTGAATTCAAATTTTGAATATTTCAATACAATTTTCAATGTTGTCAGGGAATTATCCCTGACTATATAATTTGAATACTATCTGAATTTTGAAATTTGACAGGGATGTTTCCCTAACAACGAAAAGCAAATCCCGGATAATTACATTGAATGTAGTCGGGGATTCGAATCCCTGACTAATCTCGCCGGCGACTGGCACTCATTTATAAAGGATAAATCCCTTACAATTCCCTGACAACTTTTGTTAGGGATTATAAATCCCTAACAATAGTTTTGTCAGGGCGCTGGAGTTACGGATGAGATCCCTGACAAAATCCCTCACAAAATCATTTGTTAGGGATTTTTTGAACTGTGATCCCTAACAACATCTGTGACTATTCCAATGTTTTTTTGTAGTGCTTGCCGCATGCCAAACCAAAAACGAAGTATAGAAATAATATCATACAGACAACCAACCATATTGTGAGAGGTTGCTAATTGGCCGATGAAAGTTTAGTAGGTATGAATCAAGGTATCTTTTTGAATAAGATTCTTGCATGGTAAATGTGAATGATAAGAAAAATCTACTTAATAGCGATACAAATCAATCTTCACCGTTCATTTAGATTAGATCACAAGTCATTGACTTAAGCGGATATGGACCGTCGGGTCATTGTTCGGATCCGACCAATATTGCCCGACCCTCGACTGGACGGGACAGAAGCCGTCGGATCCTTGATCGGATCAGATAGGGACCTCCGGGTCATTGACCAGACTGGACCTGATACCGACTGTCCAGTCGTTGATCGGACCGGACTGGAACTGACACCTGAGTGGGACTTCGCACCACTATGAGTGAGGATGCAAAATCATTGCAACGCCCCACTCCAATATCCACATATTTCAAATTTGGAAAACGAGTAAAAATCACTTTTTCAAGTTATTAAGACTGAGACATATCTTATTTTATGATTTTGGAAAATGATTGGATAAACACATTTTTTCTGTTTTCCTTTCTTCACTTTCCACCAATAGTTTTTCAATAAACACATTTTCTTTTACTTGTTTTCCAGTTTTTAAGTTTTCTAGAAAACTTTCAAAAACAAAATAGTTTACTAGAAAACTTAAAAATGCCTCTGGTAGTAAATAGACCTTAATATTTCAAGAAAAAAATATCCCTACTCTTTAGCTATTCCAATTTCCAATCACATATCCTCTAAAAAAAATTCCAATCACATATAAGCAAGTACATTGAATTTAGAGAATAATGATCAAGAACAAAAAAATGACATGTATATAAAGACCAACGTACCTCGTTTCTGCAACATAGATAAGAAGACAACCAACACACTTTTTCAACCCTGAAACAAGGAGTCATTTATTTTACCCCTCTCTTCACTTAAATAAATACGATAGTATATGTTTTCTCCTCCTTGAATTGAAAAAGATCTCCTTAGTCAGTATTTTCAAATCATTTTATCTGAAATCAATCGTGTGTTGAAATTTTGTTGTTGATGGTTGAGAATGTTGTCCTGCTTGATTTTTTTGGGAGACTCCCGACTCCAGATCAACCTGGAAATAAATGTTTTAAATAATTACTACATACTTGTATATTCTAAAATATTTAAAATTTGTCTCAAGGTAAATAAATAAAACTTGTATCATAGAAGAATATAAGTATTTTTAAATTTGTAGGGTTTTCCTGTACTTTCTCGCATATTATAGTACGATAGTATATGTTTTGTTAAATGTCAACATTCTTGATTGAGATGAATTCTTGATTGAAATAGTTCCAAACTTGTAACCTTGTCCTGGCTAGTAAATAAATGCGATAAAGTTTAATACTCCGTAGTTTATTAGCACTAAATAATAAACTAAAAACATATTGTGAAACTCATAATGACATGCACTTGATCATAGGTGAATATGAACTAAAAAATAACATTGTTACTAAATAAGCTAAAATGTTACAATTTGTTTGACGGCATAGTAAAATCATTGATGGAAAAAATGTTAGTCGTAGTTTGTAAAATTAAAAAAATTGGAATCACTAAATAAAATTTCAATTGGATTAATTTATAACTTTAGAAATCAATTTCAACGAATGTACTGTACATGATAAGTATTTAGATGTGACAATTATCACAAATGATATTGCTACCCCAATTTGTACCCCATTTTGTATCCTTCCCTATATTTGTGGTTCACAAAAGCACTTCATTAAAATGGAGCAATTCATTTAATGTGTTGGACTTTTGTGAATCACAAATATAGGAAGAGGGATACCTCTAGCAAAACTCGACAATACATCTATTGAAGTTCTTTAGATGTATTGTCGAGTTTTGGCAATGAACCGTTACTCAAAAAGGAGAAATCACACTGACCGTGTAATATATTGACACGATGGCGAATCATAACTGCTATGTTTTTATTTTATAGGTAACATTGTGATTGAGATTTTATATAAATCCACAAATTACGAACCCATCCGTAACCTGTTAGGATGAAGGATGATTATGGTCGGAGTAAAAACTACCCGAATGATAATGAAGCGGTAAGTGTAAGGATAAAATATGTAGAGTATGGTTTGCAACAGCTCAAAAAAGTATTTCTGAGTCTTTGGCTTAAAAAACACTTATTTATCAAACACTACCAATTTTTACTTTTCTCGGTTTTCGTGTGAAAAGTGTTTTTCCCTTTTCTGTTACACAAAAAGCACTTATTTTATCAAACACTATCAACTTTTACTTTTCAAAATCACATTTTTTTTCAAACATTATTAACTTTTACTACTAATCACTTTTTCCAAATCACTCCAAAAGTGCTTTTTTAAGGAGAAGCAGTTGCAAACAACTGAGTTCAGTTGGTGAAAAAATTGGATTAAATCCGCATTATTTTTTATTTAGTTTTTCATTTACATCATAGTTCTAGGTTTAATATCTGCCATGGTTGTGGTGTTTTTGTTTTGGTGGGCTTAGGATTTTTTGTTATGATGATTTGGTATAATCTGGTCAGATCTTGTCTGAACTGATCTTATCCGATAGAAGCTCACTCTTTGGGTATGTTATAACTGTCGAAGTCTAGTCTGGCATGATAGAAGTCCATGTTGAAGCCACCTCGAGGGTGAGTTGGAGGATAGAAAAAGTATTTCGATCAATATAGACTTATTGTTGTGCGTGTTGTGATTAGCGAGTCATTCTTTTATTGGTGATTAATTAATCTTATGTCTAGTCCTTGAGCGTGTAATCGAGTTTGGAATACTTGTTTTCTTGTTTGCTTGTATGTTCTGAGGAGTATTACTACGTATAATATAAGCCTTTTACATTAAAAAATTACATAAAAATAAAAATATTTTCTTCCATGAATTAAAAAGTTAGCAACTCTTCGCCTATTCATCTTAAATTTCAAATGATTTTAAATTTGTAATGAAATTCAAAAAAATCATACTCTCCCTTTTACTTTTCTTTTAAATTTATTACGTATTTTCCTTTTACTTTTCTTAATCTTTTAGAAAATTTTATCTGACATCATAACACAAAAAATTAACAACTGTTCGCCTATTCTCTTTCCTTTTTCATCGAACTCACCTACGTATTCACACTCTTTTAGTAAAATAATTAATCCAAAATTGGACTGAAGTATAGATAAAATAGGATTAATTATTTTACAAAAAGTAGAATTGGTACTTTTCTGAAAATAGAAATGTGATATATGGTACATTTTTAGATTTTTGTTAAATTTTCATATTGTAAAACTCTAATTTACAAATTTATTACAAATTTACATTTCATTAAAAAATCCCAATTGATAGTTGAGAGTATTTAAAAATAAGATCAAACACAGTTTAAATTATTTAAACAATACTATATAGTATTGTCAAGTTTCTTGTGCTCTGATGACATTAATGTGACATTCTATTTAGGAGGTCACAAGTTTGAATCTCATCGCATTTCAAGGATATTGGCTTTAACATAGAACACATACTATAATAGGTTAGAAAGGTTTGCCGAATACATAAAAAAATACTATACTATACACTCAATTTCTATTTAAAGGTGATATGCTATGACAAGTTATAACATGCCATTGACCTATTGGTTGACGGGCCATATAATTGTAATTATATAGAAATCATCAATATGGTTGAGAATTGCGACTAGCGGACTATATATGAGAAATTATCCTAAATTGGACTAAAACGTTTGTATATTATAAAATAAGACTATCATGTTTTATTCTCAAAATAAGACAATTATTATCATGTTTTGGCAGTACCAGACTTTAAACATGTCAATATTTTTCAAACTTGGAAGTAATTATTTCTATTTTGGAAATAAAAACATCGCAATCTTATTTTGGAATTTTCTAATTTTTTTACTCATGTTTCGGGAATTTTCCCATTATATATTGAGTGGACCAACGTCTTATTTTCGCGTTATGTTTATTTACGCTGCTTTGTTTTTTTGTTAAAGTCTTTAGTTTTAGGTTTACAATAATGATTGACAATTCACCTAGTTATTATGTCGTTAAAAGGATATATATGGCCAGTGATTGTCGTGTCAAACATGTTTGGTGGCTAGCGATTCATATCGCTCTTTCAGCGGTGATCGTTTCTATGTCTAAATGTAGGATTGATAGTGATAGTTGTTTGCGCATAATTATCAGTGTTAATCTCTTTGATTGAGTTTGATGTAAGGATGTTTTTACTTGGATTTTTTCATTCTCAAACCAGACCAGGCTAAAATATACCAGACAAGACAAGGTCAAAACAGACTTCCATAGTTATAAAGTACACAGAGACCAAACATTACCAGACTAGTTCAGAGTAGAGCAGGCTTAAATAGACAAGACTAGACAAGACCAACAAATTTCAGTCCAATTAAAAATATCTAAGAACCGAATCCTAATGATATTAATATAAGCAGTTTTTCTTAAAAAATATTGAGTGGATCGACAATAATTGAGATTATTCTTTCAAAAAAAGCAATAATTGAGATTATTATTTTCCATTTTCTTTAATTTGAGATGGTGTATTCTATTTTTGTCTTAAGCATTGACGGAGTAAGCTGCCACATGTACAACTACTATCCTCTTTATTCAATTTGTTGGCACCACTTTTATATTTTTTAGACTCATGGAGATCATTTTCTGTCCTTATAGCTCTCCTTCTTTGAACTCCGCCATGAGATCAATTTTTTTTGGTTTCATGCCTGTCCCAAGCCAGGATAAAGGAGGAGGGTGCTGTGGTAGGCGCGTGATGGCCAACAGTATCACCTAGTCACATCACATTACATGAATCGAAATTCAATCAGGGGTTAAAGCAAAGTTGGAAGTATGGCGACAAACATTGGAGAACAGGGGTTTCAGACTAAGTAGGAGCAATACAGAGTACATGGAGTGCAAGTTGGTGGAGGTAGAAGCAGTGGTAATAGCGGAATTACTTTAGATGGTAAGGAGATACCGGTCAGCGATATGTTCCGTTACTTGGGCTCCATAATTCAGAAGGACGGTGAGTTAGATGGAGATGTATCCCATAGAATCAGAACAGAGTGGATGAAGTGGAAGAGTGCGTCATGATTTCTATGTGATCGCGGTATGCCGACTAGACTGAAGGGTAAATTTTACAGGACAGCACTTAGGCCTGCATTACTGTATGGCACGGAGTGTTGGGCGGTGAAACAATGTCACATTCAAAAGAGGAGTGTGGCAGAGATGCGCATGCTGCGTTGGATGTGTGGGCATACTAGAAAGGACCGCGTGAGGAATGAGATAATCAGACAAAGGGTGGGAGTAGCACCTATTGAAGATAAGATGCAGAAGTCGCGCCTACGGTGGTTTGGTCATGTGCATAGAAGACCGAGTGATGCACCTGTCAGACGAGTTGAGATGTGTGGAGAAGAGGCAGGGAAGAGAGGGAGAGGAAGGCCCAAACAGACGTGGGTTAGTGGAGTCAAAAGTGATATGCTTCTTCTTGGATTGGATGAGGGTATGACTTTGGAGAGAGCAAAATGGAGGGCGGGTATTCGTGTGGAGGAGTGATCTTGTATCATCTTTTCCCCTCTTTTTCTTCTTCTTCTTCTTCTTCTTCTTCTTTTTCTTTTTCTTTTATATTTTTATCCTTATATATAAATATTACTTTATCCTTTTTTTTATCTTTTATATGTATATTCATCTCTTTTATATTTTTTTTAGAATAGCTTATCTTTTTTATCTTTATTTTCTTTCTTCTCCTTTTGGTGATATCATGTATCGATTCATGTTAGTCGACTCCAATATCGTTTGGGACTAAGGCTTAGATGTTGTTGGAGTACGCTGCCACATGTCACATATCCTAAAACACAAATCAAATACAGAGTATACTCCGAACATTCTAATCGTATTGAATAAGACATAAAAGTGGCAAGTAAATATGAGCACGAAAAAGAACCACTTATACAATTATATAAATGTAAATTGTTTTCACTTTTCTAAAAAAAATAGAAACACGTGCAAAACCCTAAATGCTTTCGAATTAATCCAAATTTAAAAAACAACACAAATACAGCCAGATCAGATCGGAGTATGACTCTGACAAATTCATCCTGGCCGTGCGTGAAACGAATGAAACTGAGCTGTGATCAAAGATTGAAGCTAGACTTTGATTGCACCACCCTACAGATCCGTGGTCCATCTAACATCCTGGCAACCCGGTCAACGCCATCCGTTGACCCAAACCCGACCCGTACATCGTCGCAGGTTGCCTTAATGTAAAAGGCCTCCTCGCTGCGGGTCCCGGGATCTTCCTTAACCCTACTTTTTAGGTCAATTGTGAACGTGTAAACCACCGCCGATTTCAGATCCGGTGGCATGACGGAATCGGTGGCGGCCAGCAACATTGGCTTTTGCTCAAGGCTACCCTGCGAGAAGGTTCCGGGATGGGCCCGCATAAACGTCTGGTTCCGGCCGGCCCAGACCACCAATACCTCCATCTCATCGTACTGTTCTATGCCAGAATAACGATTGTCGTTGTCGAAAGCTAGAGCTATGGTGCAGTTGGCCGTGAGCGGCGGCGATCCAGAAGTACCGTTGCCGTTGACGGCGGCGGCGAAATTAGGTGAAACCGTGAAGTCATAGATGCGTAGTTTTGGAGGCGGTGATAAGGCTGATAACGGCATGCGATGGACCAAAAAAACGACAAGCCCCACTACGAATGCTACTAAGAATCCTATTATTACTAGCAATAAAACACCATCTAGACATGCCTCCTTTGAATCCTCCTCCATGCTTGATTCCTTTTCCATGCTTGATTCCTATTATTACTAGCAGTAGCAGAGGTCGTATATATTTTATGGGGATAATAAGACGAAGCAATTCAAGCTTTTGCTCTTCTAATAATACGTACTGTATATACTAGGGCAAGTTTGATCGACTTCATTATATAAAGCCCAGTACGGTAGCTACGGCCTACGGGGCAAGCCTCGGCCAACCACATTTTTGTTTAGGAAACTCGCTGCAAATTTCAAGTGTAAAATGTTTTACAGAAATATTTTTTGTACTTGTCTAGTCCGGCCCAAGGCCTTGGCTCCATCCTGTTTTACAGAAATATTTCCCATTAATATGCAATGGTATATTGGTATCCTGGTAGGTGAACATCCCACGCTTCAATACCAACAAATTAAATACAGAGTAATGTAATCACACAATAATTAATTCGTGTTAAATACTTAGATACCAATATAACAAGCATGTTGTCGTCACGGCTCACGGGCAGTAATTTTTGAGAAGTAATCGAGTTAAATTCATCAAATAGCTAGGAGTATAACAATCACCGCAAAAAATAGGTTTTGAGAATAGAAGTATAACAATCATCTCGAGCTTGATTTCGAATATAATTTAATGACTCGAACTTAACAAGCTTCGAACTCGAACGCAAATTAGGTTTTGAGTTTGAAGCCGAGTTCGAATATAGTGATATTTGGTTCAATCCGGTCTCGAGCCTATCGTTCACTTATATGGAGTAAATTATAGGAATGAATTGTGTACTTCGTATATCTTAAAATTTTAATGTTTTTAGTGAAATTTTATATATTTATTAATGATTATTAAATAAAGATTCGAGTTTTTTATTGAATAATTCGAACATGAATCTATTAACGAGTATAGACCAAACTTTTACATTCGAGCATGTTTATTAAGCGTTAAAATCGAACACCGAAATCTAAATCTATCGAGCTCAACTCGAGCACAATTTCATACTAGCTAAGTAAATATTAATTTCATTTTCTTTCTTGGCAATATATTCATTATCCATCCTAAAAAACATTTTCAATATTGGTATGAATCAAAAAGTATTCCCAATTTTAATATTTAATTGAAAGTTTTAATTCTATCTTACATATTCACACAATAAATAAATAATTTTCTAACTTCAATATAACAAAAAACTCATTCTCTAATAATTATTTGTAAAATATTACTAATAAAAAATACTACCTCCGTCCCTTTTATATTGGGACGGAAGAGGGTGACACGAGTTTTAAGAAAAGTGGGTTTGTGTGGTTGATATTAATTGATATAGTAAGAATAAAGTAAGAATGATTTTGAGCCACACAAAATTTATCAAATAAGGTATGAGACAATTAAATAGGGACATCCCAATATGGTAAAACGGGACATTTAAAAGGGGACGGAGGGAGTAATAGGCAAAAATGTGACTTGGTAACATTTTCTAAAATATTACAAATAAAAAGTAATGAACAAAATGTGACTTACAATTGTAACTTTTAGTGACTTACACCATAGCAGCTTTGAAAACAATTATTGTTACTAAAAGTTACTAAGTCACATTTTTGTCCACCACTTTTTTAGGAATAATATTAGTGATTTTTTCTCTAATTTTGGGGCAGGCTGGACATTAATTTTGGGGTAAACTGGAAATTGAACCTATACCTATACTACAAAAAAAATTGGACTGGGCTGCGTTGGAGCCCACCCTTACCCTCACAATGGTTTGGACAATTCAGTTCATAGGCAAAATAGATGAAACTGTTTGAAAAATATCAAATCTTAATAACGGTCCGGTTCTTTAAATTTTTATAAAACCGATATGGAACCGAACAATTCTTAATGGTTTGGTTCTTGTTATTTAACTATTCTTAATTTTTAAAAAATTTCTTACAAATTACCACCATTAAATTTGTGCAAAAAAATATTCAACGTTTAAAATGACAAAAACTACAAATATGTTTACCATCATTTCAAACCTCAAAAGTTGAGTTTAAACATAAATATTAAATATTTACCAAACTGGAAATTTTAGTAAATAAACAAAACAAAACAACATATTCACTTCAATCAATAATTATGATCTTGAATAAGCAACGTAGTTAGGATGTTTTCACTTAGCCTGCTAAAAAGTTCACTCATCTGAAAGGATTACGAGCACGTCGAGCAGAGCACTCAATTTTGACCATCTTAAATAGCTAAACTAAAATAGTTAGTGTAATATAAAAACAAACAAGTAAATATACATCAACACACACACAAATAAGAAATATATAAAATTTTAATTATTACTCCGTATATATAATGGTTCCTTAACGGTTCCATGTACATATTATTTTCAGGAACCGAGAATCGAACCGTCAATTAAAAATAGGAACCGAACCATTGACAAATGACTGAAAAATGCTGGAACTGAACCAAACCAGGTCATTACAGTTCAGTCCGGTTCTCCGATTCTTGGTTCCGAAGTCCCTACCTACAAACACTGGCACGGTACCTTCTGTGTTGTAGCCTTGCCAAAGTCATTTGGAACGGACTCTGAATACGTCCCACCCGGGGTCTTCCAAAAATTTGGAACGCTTTCTTCTACCGTGCCAACATTTCGAACGGCCTTTGGCATGCTAATAGGCCTGTCAATGGGTCGGGTCTGGGCCGGAATGTAGTGTTCCAGACCCGGACCCGCTAAGTAAATAAGGGACCCAGACCCGGACCCGTTTGCCCGTCGGGTCTGCAATTTTGGACCCGGACCTGGACCCAACGGGTCTCGGGTCTGGGTCGGGTAGACCCGCCATTTTTTTTGGAAGATTAGACCCACCAAATATAAAACAGAACGTGTATATGAATCATGAATGTAATGCAATTCCACAAACTAGCTACATCTAGATCTCAATCATCCTTAATACGGAGTAATAAGTAAAACACATCTTTATTTTTTTAAAAAAAAAATTGATGTTCACATAAGAAACCAGTACTTTCATCCAAACGTATTGAATGTCTTTGATAGTGAAATAAACAAAACTCAAATAAAATATCCCAGTTTGTTTTAATATGTATTAATGGGATACTAGTTTTAGGTATGTATTACTATATTAGTATATGAAATATATATTAATAAAAAAATTATAAACGGGTCCGGGTCCTTAACGGGTCGGAATCATATATACCATACCCGACCCATTTATTAAAAATATTAATGGGTCCGGGTTCGGGTCCGGGTAAACGGAATAAAACATCGACCCATACCCATTAAAAATAACCGGGTTCGGGTCGGGTCCGGGTCTAGACCCGACCCATTGACAGGCCTACATGCTAATGCCGTGGCGATATTCTTAATTAACGGATGTTGAAACATTTCTCAGTTAATTTTGGCACTTCATTCGTCAATGCCAAATTTTATGTACCAACTCTAAATTTGGGGTAGACATTCCCTGCCGAAAGTTGGTTTACTTTTCCTAGTTTATCCCCAGGATTTTCTGTTCCAAAGTGAGAGGAGAGTTAGAAGGATAAATTCACCGTGTGTATTCTCCTTTAATCAAATAGGGTGAAGTATGTACAATTGTGAAGCTATACGTAACTAAACAGAATATCAAATGCATCGCATGGCTTCCGTGAACTATGGTACACTGAACGTGGACAACCATGTAGATAAGAATGTAATCATTGATGCCTCAGAGATAATTACTAGCCAACCATGCTTCTTGTACCCACCACTTTATACCCACCTTATACCCACCTCTGTGAAAGTTATTTTTTGTCTGTGAAGCCGGTTCACAGACAAAATATGTCTTTGAATTCCTTCACAGACATATTTTGCTTGTGAAGGAATTCACAGACAAAAAAAATAACTTCACAAACATGGCTGGGTACAAAAGTGGATATAAAAGTGGGTACAAACATCATTTTCCTAATAAATAATGGAAATACTAGCTACTCCCTCTGTCCCAGAAAATTCTTCCCACTTTGACTTGGCACGGAAAATAAGAAAGTAGAATAAAGTGGAAATGTATGGTTGTGGTTGTGTAAGAAAAAGGTGAAATGAATGTGAACCACACAAATTGTCCAAAAAAGGAAAGTGAGAAGAATTTTTTGGGACGACCCAAAAAAGAAAGTGAGAAGAATTTTATGGGACGGAGGGAGTAATAAATATACAAGAGCCTAGCCGAGATATATACGTCTGCATGCATGGGCGTGCGTACGTGAATAATATGCTAACACGCCCCTGCTATCATAGATGCTGAGACTGGACCGAAAATCTTCAAATAGAATTCTGGGCAAGCCCTTGGTAAAAAAAAGTACACCGTACATATGTAATGTACGGTGCACATTTTTTTTATAAATTAAACTTTGGCACAAATTTATCTGTATCAAGATTCCTCTCAAAATTAACTAAATTGCAGTGTCATTCTAGATAATTTGGCTCGACAGTTTCCGTGCCAAATACCCGGGTAAAAATTCGGGTAACCCGGTAGTTGCCGAGCCAATATCCCTGCCTACTGAAATCCGAGCCAAAATGGCTGTGAATTATCAAGTAGGTTAGCCCGTATTATTCTGTGTCTAAATCCGAAACAAGACTTGCCTCGGATGCAAATCGCCGAGCCAAACCATTTGGCACGAGCCAGGTGGGACGGATTTCAGTTCCGTGCCAAATCCGAGCCAACAGCGATAGTCTGGGATTTCAATGAAGCGATCCGTGCCAAAATCCGACCCTCTGGCGATTTTTTTGGTAGTGGATGTTATTGATTAATGGGCCATATAGCTGTAATTGTATAAAAACAATTACTCCCTTCATCCCGTATAAATTAAATTAAAGACTTTCACGCGGTTTACGATGTTTGACTGACCATTATGTTAGATGATGCTTGTATGCATAATTAGAGTATTTTAACAAACAAATTTACATATTCAGAAACTAGTTTAAGAGTCCGTTTGGTAATACTCAAATTGGCTATTTGGCTGATCTTGCTAAAATTTATGATATTCTGGCTGAAGGGATGGGATTGGGTGATTCTGTTGATTTATGAAAAAATATATTTAAAATATATTTTATTAACAAAATAAAGAAAAAATTATATGAAGAACCAGCTAAAATGATTCCCTAAAGTAATTTCAGCTAATACAGTTAGAAAAGTAACTCCAATATTACACAATTCAACACGTGAATTCAAAAATTACGTGTTTGATAAAAAAATTGACTAATAAACGTGATAAGTCAAAAAATAGGATTACCAATGGCCTCCAAAAGTTTAATAAAATGGGAAAAGAAAAACTCAAATTTAATGAAAGTTGAAAATATAAAATAAATGATTAAAAAGTCTTTCTGATGATCGGCAAACAATGTACGTGAACTTTAATTTGAATGAGATGGACTAGTGATAATTGCTAGTAATATATAGTTGAAACTATCTAGAGTGGCGGATCATAACAATTGAAATTATTAGTTTCTATTTTTCCTTAATTTGAGATAGAGTATTTTAGTTTTTAAGCATCTTGATGGAGTAATCTGGCACATGTCTGGCTCGTAGCCTAGATGTTAAGCAACCCTTGGCTAGTAGCCTAGATGAGTTAGCTTCGAGCCGAACTCGAGCTGATTTCGAGCTTAGGTAAATATACCGAGCCGAACTCGAGCATTAATATTTGAGCTCGTTCGAGCTCAAGCCGAACTCGAGCATGTAAAATATTTTCGAGTTCGAGCTCGAGCCTATGTAAGTTCGGGCTCGGCTCGGCTCGTTAACACCCCTATGTCTGGCACATTATTAATTTGAAATTATTATCTAGAGTATTATATTAAGCATCTTGAATTGATGGAGTAATCTTTTTCATGTCACGTATCTTAAAACCCAGATCTCATAATTCTAATCGTATTTGAATAAGACATAAAAACATTAGTGGATAGTAAATATGAACAGGAGAAAGAACCAATTCTTCAATTATTTAAATGTACATTATTATTTTTACTTTTCACAAAAAAAAAAGATAGAAACTCAAAACCCCAGTAAATCCTTTCAAATCAATCCAGAATTTAAAAACAACTCAAATACGGCTAGATCGGAGTAGGTCTTTGAAACCTTCCTATGATCCAAGATTGAAGCTAGACTTCGATTGCACAACCCTACACATCTGAGGTCCATCTAACATCCTCGCAACACGGTCAATGCCTTCCATTGACCCAAACCCAATCCGTACTTCCTCGCAGGTTGCCTTGATGTAAAACACATCCTCGTGGCTGTCTCCGGGATCTTCTTTAACCCTACTTTTCAGGTCAATTGAGAACGTGTAAACCGCCGCCGATTTCAGATCCGACGGCACAACGGAATCGGTGGCCGCCAGCAACACCGGCTTTTGTTCAAGGCTACCCTGTGAGAAGGGTCCCGGGTGGGCCCGCATTAACGTCTGGTTCTGGCCGGCCCAGACCACCGATACCTCCATCTCATCGTACTGATCTACCCTAGAATAATACTTACCGTCGCCCACATTGTTGTTGTCGAAAGCGAAAGTAATGGTGCAGTTGGCCGTGAGCGGCGGTGATGCGGAAGTACTGTTGCTGTTGACGGCGGCAGCGGTGGCGGCGAATTTAGGTGAAAGCGTGAAGTCATAGATGCATAGTTTTGGAGGCGACGGTATGTTCGAATCGTGGAGATAGAAAATAACGAGGATCGCCAGTGCGGATGTTGCTAACAATATTGGTACAACAGCATCACACAGAAAATCATGACACGGAAGACGACGGCGTTCTTCCATTGGAGACTCCATGCTGGATTCCAATTATTACTAGCAGAGCTCGTATTTCGTTGGGATTAGGGGAGGCTAGGTTTTGCTCTTCTAATAATAAGTAGTTAAGTACTCGTATTTACTATAGGGCTAGTTTGAATTTTTATTATGATTCAACTACATCATTCTGATTGGTCCATGTGGACAAAAGTATGGTACCTTAAGGGTACCATAGAATCTACCAATGATCAATCTCACAGTTCGGAGGTTTAATTATCGAGTTTGGATTGGAATTAATCAATAGAGAAGATTGCCCTAAAATATATGACTATTATTTTTTATCTCATGATTGCTATCCATTAATTAAGATGTCTATTAATTAGTATTCCTAAAAAAGAGGAATTAGTTTATACGAAGTATATCATAATTCATAACTGCTTCCTTATGTATGGGATAATCCCCTTCAAAAAAAAATATGGGGTCATTATTATATATATATTTCCGCCACTTACAATACTAACTAATTGAATAATTTCTTTAAAAAAAACTAATTGAGTAATTTAATTGACAGCTCATTTAATTTAGAGCAGAAAATATGTTCCGGACTTGTTAACCTTGTTTTCATTCCAAGTACGCCCGTAAAACTACTGCCTAGTTATGTTACTATCCAGTGCTCATATTTACATGAACAACATGTCTATAGGGTCTTTGGTAAATGACTGTTGGCTATTGCCTGATGCTGATTGTGTTAGTCGATTGATAACAACGAATTCCGTTGATCTATTTGATAAGCGGATAGTATTAGCAGTTTCTAAAATGAAGTTTGATTAAATGAGTGTTTACAATCAGTAAATAACTTTTTAAATGACTTTTACGAGCGTCATTAATTTTTTATTTACAAACTACTCTTACATACGTGTTATAAACTTTGTTAGTCATTTGCATTACAAAAATAACATAAATTTCTTTCTTTCACAAGGAAAACTATTTACATGACTAGCCCTCCAACCACCATTTTTAAACGAGTGGTACTCCAACAAACAAATATTCAAACCAAACATGTTCGAACTAACACTACAAAAAAACATTGATTTTGTCAGGGATATTGTCCCTAACATGCTTGTCAGGGATTTTGTTAGGGATTACATAAAAATTCGGTCAAACAGTATTGTCAGGGAAATATCCCCGACTAAATTTGTTTGGGATAATATCCGTAACAAAATCCCCGACTAGACCCTCAAACCGGCCATCAGCCGGAACTTTTTTGGCCGGAATATTTGTAAGGGAAAATATCCCTAACAAAAAAGTTGGGAAAATAGCCGTTTGATTTTGTCAGGGATTGTATCCCTGACAAAATTGAAAATTTAATATTGTCACGGATTTTTCCCTGACTAAATAAAAAGTATACATTTTACAATTGTGTCACGGATTGTTCCGTGACAACAGTTAACGTTGAAAGCAATTTCGACCGTTACACATCCGTGACAAAATCCGTGACAAATATTACCGTTTGATAAAATCCCTAACAAAATCCCTGACAAATATTTCTATATATACTGGTCATTTTGGCTAGTTTCATACCATTCTTATGGTGTATAATTTTATAGAGTATTATAATGTGTTTGTGGAGTCATCAAAATGACGAAATTGGATGAATTTCTAGAGGCAAATGCGTGTTTGAAATAATAAGGTATGTACATGTATTTCTTTGGGATTTTTTTGTAATACATGTCAAATTGAATAGGGTATTAGTTTATTTAAAGCATTACACTTGTTATAATAAATCATTTTAAGTATATAATAGATATTTATGTCCTTAACTAATTGTATCATTATATATAGTTGATTAGTCCATGTATTATGAATTGTTTTAATTCATTTATTAAATGAAGTTTGTGAATATATATTAACTTTAAGTAATTAATGTTAGTGTAGGAATTGAATGGAGCTATTTCTTAATATAATACATCACACACACACATATTGGGAATATACAAAATATATATAAATATATGTAAAATGGACATGTATAAATAATATATATTTATGTCGTTACATAACATTATCATTATTTATAGTTCATTATATATTATGCCTAAGTAATGAATAATGTTAGTGTTGCAATGGGGTTTTTTCTAATATAATATGTCAAATATATTCAGGTATAATGTATAGACAAATTAGAAGTTGGATGTACAATAGGTATGATGAAAATAGAGGTTATCGGACAGAATTTCTTGCCGGTGTTGCTGAATTTCTCGCTTTTGCACTTGGACAAACACAATATAAGGATGGTGATAAAATAAGATGTCCTTGCATTAAGTGTAAAAACCTTAAATACCTTTCTTCTCAGAGTGTTGAATGGCATTTGTGGACGAGAGGCTTTGTTGACAATTATTATAATTGGACTTCTCATGGCGAGCCATTCGACCCATCACTTTTACCACAAACAGTAGGTTCATCTCGTCATGTTCCTAATGAAATGGGTGAATGGGGAGATTATGATCAAATGTCATGGGGCCATCAAATGGTCTACGATATATTTGGTGCTTCAACCTCGCAATTTAACCATAATGTCGAGCCATTGAATAATCCCCCCCAAAGCCAGAGCTCTAATGTCCCACACGGCGATGAGAATCCAAGCTCTTATGTTCCATATTATGTTGATGAATTAGGAGAGAGATTCCAAGATGTCTTAAAAGCAGCCGATCAACCTCTTTATGCCGACTGTGAGGGTCACTCTCAACTATCGGCAGTTACAGAGTTGTTAAACATAAAATCTGAATATAACCTTCCTGAAAATTGCATGTCTAGATTGTTGCAGTCTGTCGGGGGGATGTTACCGCGTGATCATAGTCTTCCCAGTACATATTATGACATGAAACGATTAGTCTCTCAGTTGGGGCTTCCTGTTATAGAAATTGATGCGTGTCCTTCTGGATGCATGTTGTATTGGAAAGATGATGAGATACTAGTCAACTGCAAGTTTTGTGGAATGGATAGATACAAACCTCTTCCACAAACTCGCAAAAAACCGCGGTACAGGTCTGCACTGTCTAAATTATTTTACCTCCCTCTAGCTCCACGATTGAAGCGAATGTATGCTTCAAACGCTACTGCAAAACACATGACATGGCATGTGGAGCATGAAACTAAAAAAGGATTGATGTGTCATCCTTCAGATGGGGAAGCTTGGAAACATTTTGACCGTTGTCATCCTCAATTTGCAATGGAGCCTCGTAATGTTCGTCTGGGATTATGTTCAGACGGTTTTGCTCCATATGGGCAGTTTGGAAGCAAGTTTTCATGTTGGCCTATCATGTTAACTCCGTATAATCTCCCGCCTGATATGTGCCTGAAGAGTCATTTCATATTTTTGTCTTTAATTTGTCCAGGCCCAAAAGATCCGAAAAAGAGAATAGACATTTATCTACAGCCTCTAATCGAGGAGATGAAAGAACTTTGGACTGTTGGGACACCAACATATGATGTCTCTCGAGATCAAATGTTTATTATGAAAGCTGCCATTATATGGACCATTAGCGATTTTCCAGCATATGGGATGCTTTCCGGATGGAGCACTGCTGGTCTTCTGGGATGTCCAGTTTGTATGGAAAAATCTGGTGCAATCTTTCTTAAGCATAGTCGCAAACCAAGTTATTTCGATTGTCACCGCAAATTTCTTCCGGCCAACCATCGCTATCGAAGAGATAAGAAGTCATTCTTAAAGGGAAGAACTGTACGTGACCCCCCACCCCCTAGGCTGTCCGGAGATCAACTTTTGAATCGTGTTCGACGTATTCCTACAGCTATGGAGTTGCCAAACCAAAATCCTGAAGGTTTTTGCGTTACACATAAGTGGACTAAAAGGAGTATATTCTGGGAGTTGCCTTATTGGAAAGACCTTCTCATTCGCCACAATCTTGATGTGATGCATATTGAGAAGAATGTATTTGATAATATCTTTAACACTGTCATGGACTTCAAAAAAAAAACAAAGGATGGTGTAAACTCAAGAAAGGATATTACAGTGTGGTGTGATAGACCTGAACTTGGTGTTGATCCTGAATACCAAGGTAAAACAATTCCAAAAGCAATTTATCAACTCACAAAGGAGCAACAAATTTTAATATTAATGTGGCTAGGGTCTCTCAAATTCCCGGATGGATATTGCTCCAATTTGTCGAGGTGCATAGACGCAGAAAAACTTGTCATGAAGGGCATGAAAAGTCATGATTGTCATGTAATCATGCAAAGACTTCTTCCAATTGCTTTAAGGGACATGCTTCCCCCAAATGTTTGGAATTGTATTACGGAAGTTAGTTTGTTGTTTCAAACATTATGTTCCACTGTTTTGGAGACTGAAGCGCTCAAAGAACTAGAGAAAAGTGTTCCCATCCTAATGTGCAATTTGGAAATGATTATGCCTCCATCATTCTTTGATACAATGGAACATTTGCTAGTACATCTCCCATATGAGGCCATTAATGCCGGTCCTGTCTTTTATCGTTGGATGTACCGCTTCGAGAGGTTAGTTACACCTTTTATAGTTATCCCAACTAGTATATTTTATGGCTGTCTGAATCATAATGAAATTGACTATTTTGTTTATATATATAACAGGTTTTTGAGAGACTTGAAAAAGAAAGTCACTAATAAAGCACATGTGGAGGCGTCGATTTGCCAAGCTTATCTGACTCAAGAAATCTCCACATTCTCATCTTTTTATTTTGAGCGGGATGTGATTACTAAAAGAAAACGACCAGCCCGAAATGACGACATTGGCGAGGACTCATATGATAATGTAGTTTCTATTTTCAATTATCCAGGTAGAGGCAAAGGAGCCGCGACTTACCGCTACATTATCGGTGAAGAATATCTGAGGGCTTATACATACATTTTAATGAACTGTCAAGAAATTGAGCCATTTTACAAGTAAGTGTCTTTCTTAATCATATTCCCACAAGTTTCACTGATTTTTTTTTTACCAATTCTCTGTCGTTTTTCTATTGTAGTGAATTCAGAGCATCACGGTCTCAATTCCCTGATCATATAATTGATGAGATGGTGAATTCCGAATTTGTATCATGGTACCAGAATAAGGTACATTTTATTAAATACTTGTATATTTTATCAAATGTCGTTATCAATTACTATAATGTTATATATATATTTTCTTTACAGATACGTAGCTGTGCCAATGTTGACCCCATTCTACAATCTTTAGCGTGGGGACCTACTACTCATGCCAAAGTTTGGCACTCATATGTTATAAATGGTTACACCTACCATACACGCGCTTATGGTGAGGACAGACCCACAATGAATAGCGGAATATGTGTCCCAACAGTTGGGTATGATAATTCCGAAACAAACTTTTTTGGCTTTTTGGAAGAGATTCTAGAACTGAGTATGCCGCGAGTAAAACAAGAACTATCAATTGTTCTTTTTCGATGCACATGGGTTGATCCGATACGAGGTGTGAAAAAACATTCAAAATATAACATCATTGATGTTAATCATTCTAGAGTGTATCGAAAAAATGAACCTTTTATCCTCGCCCAACAAGCTGCACAAGTATATTACGCCGAATATCCTTCGACGCGACAAACATCGAATCTGTGGGTCTGTGCATGCACTATCCGCCCTAGGAAAATTGTCACACAAGCTCAGCACAAAGACGTTGATTTAGATGCTTTTCAACAAGAGTATTTTCAGCCACCGCCTGTTGTTGAAGCTATCACAGATAACATTGTGTTGAGTGATCCAAGCGGGGCAGAAATCGAAGTTGTTCTACCTAAAAATACTTCGTCCCCAATTCCTCAAACAGAACTAGAGATAGTTCAACAACAAGAGGAAGAAGAAGACAAAGAAGAAGAAGAAGACGAAGAAGAATGGATATCTGGTGAAGATACAGAGGAAGAAATTATTTATGAAGAAGATCATGATTCTGAAAGCGATTAATTGATATTTATTGTATTACTCATTCTACGAACTTATTGTGGTACTTGTATTTATTAATTTATGTTGTCAATAATTCTCTATTTTTCTTGTTACTTGTCGAATATCTCATACAACTCATTTATAGTTGTATTCCTCAAGCATACAATTCAAATATATTCCTCAAATATATTTTTAGTCTATTTTAATCTAAAGCATAAAATTCATTTCTTTTTAATATTAAAATTCGAAAATTTGCAAATGTGTTTCAATAATCATATATTCCTCAAATACATTTCGAATTAATTTTTTTTCAATTTAAATTATAAGGAAATTAAATTATCAAGCATAACATGAGTTTCAATCACAACATGTTTATTAATACGGTATTTTTAAATTATCAAATTCATTACAAGCTCAGCAAAGAAAACAACATTACACAAAGATAGACCCGTGATGTTTTTTGGATAGCACAACTTTTGTCAAGGGTTAGGCTTTGTTTTCAAACAATTAATTTAAGTGCTTTTGACTTTTTTTTAAGAAAAAAACATTTATTTTATCAAACAATATCAACTTTTACTTTCTCGATTTTCGTGTAGAATCTACTTTTTACTTTTTCTATTAAACAAAAAACACTTATTTTACCGAACAATACCAACTTTTACTACTAATCACTTTTTCCCAAAAAATGCTTTTATTTAAGCATAATCACTTGCAAACAAAGCCTTACTCTCAGATATTTCCCTAAATAAATACAACTGTGCGGTGTTGTTAGGGATTAGTCAAGGATAAATCCCTGACTCATTTAATTATTTGAAACAGTTCGCACCAACCATTTCTGACTCCTCTGTATCCGACATTGCAGGCCTTAGGAATCCAATGCATTTGTTGGGGATATATCCCTCACACAATCCCAGACCACAATTACGAAATTCGAATTTTAAATTTGTTAGGGATGTCTCCCTGACTAATATTAAACGTGGAAGATTGTTAGGGATTTATCCCTAACTAATGCTTTAATATATAAATGATACTTTGTCATATTTCCACACTTTCTCTTCTCTATGCAACCCTAAAAGCATCGACGCCTCAGTCCTCAGCCCGATCGACGCCGCTGGAACAACTGTCGACAAGAGATAAGAAGACGCCGCTGTGTCTGAAGCTGCTGCCGACGAAGGCCTTGCATGTCTCTGAGTCCGATGGTGCAGCCGTGATATTCCACCGACTTTGACGCCTCTTGCTTGGTATCCATCCACCGGCCCTCAACCCGACGCCTCGGAGTCGGAGAATCATTTCCGCCTCTCAGCACCAGGCCTCTACTGTTCAGGTCACACCTTCCTATTTTTGCTTCATTTATTTTTAGTAGTTAATTTTTTTTACATTCCTATGCCTCTACTGTTCGACTTTCTAATTATTTTAATAATTTCAAATACTTTTTAAAACAATAAAATATCCTTTGTGGACTTTTGTGTTATTATGTCAACTATATGAACACATTTTTGGTGTATTTCGGACACTTTGTTAAAATAAAAGTTTTTAAACATTTTTTTATAACTTCGAATACTTTTTAAAACAACTAAATACCTTTTCGGAATTTGGTGTTATTATGTCAACTGTATAAACACTTTTTTTTGGAGTATGAACCATCTTATAAAACTGTTTGAACCATCTTCTGAACATAAAAATCCCCCCTTTCACATTAAACTCCAATGTGAAACACCTTCTCAAGTAGTCTATTAAAATAATTAGGAAAATAATAATTACGAAAACAGTTACAAAAATCTAAACAACTATTTACGAAAATAATAATTAAAATACCCATAATGAGAGGCTATGTCGCGCCTGTAATTCCAAATATAATCCCATCTTTAAAATTGAAATAATACCTAAAAAAAAAACCTTTCACATTAAACTCCAATTCTCATTTTAATGTGTTACTAAAAAATTAGTCGATTTAAACATCTTACACCTATTGTAATATGTTACCATAAACACCACAAATAAAAAAGACTTTAATCATTTCAAAACAATACGTTAAACACTTAGTTTAAACAATACGTATTCTAAGAATTAGTCTTTTTTGGATGAATTCTAAGAATTAATTTAGTCAATATTCCGTATTATTGTTTAATATTTTACCAAAACGTTTTTCCATTGAATATATAACTAAAACACAACATTTCAAAAAAACAGTTAAACAACTAGTTACGAAAATAATAATTAAAACAGACATAATAAGAGGCAAATTAAATTCGTACCTATAATTCCAAAAATAATCCCATCATTAAAATAATACTACCTTTACAAATTTTATACTACGAGTAGTTATTTTACTTACGTTTATAAATTTTAGATGCCAAATTCCTCGCGCAATTCAAATGCATCAAATCGAGGCCGCGGCCGTGGTCGAGGCGGAGGCCAAACGTCTCGCGATCACTCGATGGGAGACAATGATGGGTCGAATAACAATTCGGGTCAACCCGACACCCCCCTTTCTGGTCAACTCTCTCATGTGCGTGGGGGTGGGGGTGGTGGAACGTCCTCACAACCTCAGAATGAGCGGGCCGGGAACCAAAGATGGATAACGGCGGAAGAAGTTCTCGGGTAAATTAAAACTTTCGATTCAATAAAATAACAATAATACATGTAAATTAATTAATTTAAATTTTTATTTTATGAAGTGATGGAACAATTTTACCAACCATTGAAAAGATTGTCTCTGGACATTATCCTACCGAGGCTTGTGCCACGTATGGTCTAATATCAAAAAAGCTGCGGACTCAATACTTTGACCAGTTCACGGTAATGTACTAAATTCATATTCTCTATAAATAATGAGTTTGACAAATAAGTTGTTAAATGTGTTAATTAACATTATTTAATTTGATGAAGCACGAATATATGTGGAATCCGATTGAGACGGATGAGATTAGGAAGAACTTTCATACTCGTGCATCCGGTTGGCTCACTTCTACATTTTCCCATGCCCGATCTGACAATACCAAGCCGGGATGGATTACGGATGTTGCGTGGCAGACTCTTTTGGATCACTGGGAGAATAATGAAAGGTTTAAAAGATACAGTGAAGCAGGGAAGAAGAACAGAAACTGCCCAAATGCAAAGAATACCCAATGGCATGGTGGGCGTTCATCAACGTTTGACCATAATAAAAAATTGGTAAGTTGTCCTACTTAATTTGTGAATTTAATAATGTATGGCTACAATATTAAATGTTTTATTTTTCTTTAGGAAGAAAAGATGAAGAAGAAAGTTAGTAGATTGGTACTTTTGAACAAGTGTTGGGCTCCGAAATCTGGGCCACTTCCACCCCGTATTGCCGAGATAACGGTAAGAAATGAATGAAAATGAATATATGTTTCTATTCCTCACTTATTTACTATAATTAAATTATTGTGTAGAATAATTATGAAGAATTGATGACTGAGAAGTTGACTGAAATTGCTGCCGCCGGGGGTGAAGTTGTTGAGGAGGAGATTGATGACGATGCAATCATCGTAGAGGCTGTTGGTGATCCGGTGAAGGGGCGGTTGCGGGGAATGGGCTCACTCTCTCGCTCCATTCTAAGAAAATCCCGTGGTTGTGGTTCTTCTCAATCCGGACCTTCTCGGAAAGAAATTGATGAGTTACGTGAGGGGTTAAAAAGGCAGCAGGAGAAAGAAGAAGCCCGAGAAGCTGAAATGCGGGAAATGCGGGCTTTGGTTGTTAAATTATCGCAACAATCTCAAATGGTCATGGTGGGCGGATATAACCAAGGGTTCTCACAAATACCCTTTGGCAGTTGCTATTCCCAGCCCGGCAGTCAGATTTTTTTCACTACACCGCCGGGTGGGATGCCGGGAGGGGGGATGCCGGGGGGGATGCAAGGGGGGCAGCCGGTGGGGCAGCCTGGTCACCATGGTCAGCCCGGAGGTCAGCCCGGCGGTCAGCCCGGCGGTCAGCCCGGAGGTCAGCCCGGCGGTCTGCCCGGCAGTCAGCCCCACGGTCAACCCGGAAGTGATTTTGATCTCCGGGGATATTTTGCGGATCACGATCATGATGCTCAATTATAATTGAGATTTTTTTTAATGTATTCGAATTTTTGTTACGGAAATATCCGTTGTAAAACAATTTAATTTTTTTTTATGTTTTTGGATTCTGGTCAGAGATTTTTCCCTAACAAGTTTGATATATTTGTGCGCACATAATATATATATATATATTAACATCAATGGCAGTTTCGTAGATTAAAAATAAACATTTGTATGGGATATATCCCTAAGAAGCTGAATTCAAATTTTGAATATTTCAATACAATTTTCAATGTTGTCAGGGAATTATCCCTGACTATATAATTTGAATACTATCTGAATTTTGAAATTTGACAGGGATGTTTCCCTAACAACGAAAAGCAAATCCCGGATAATTACATTGAATGTAGTCGGGGATTCGAATCCCTGACTAATCTCGCCGGCGACTGGCACTCATTTATAAAGGATAAATCCCTTACAATTCCCTGACAACTTTTGTTAGGGATTATAAATCCCTAACAATAGTTTTGTCAGGGCGCTGGAGTTACGGATGAGATCCCTGACAAAATCCCTCACAAAATCATTTGTTAGGGATTTTTTGAACTGTGATCCCTAACAACATCTGTGACTATTCCAATGTTTTTTTGTAGTGTAAATAAAAACAAGTACTCTGTACAAGTAAAGGAAAAATAAAATTGGAATAAAGTTACTTCATAAAACTCTTCATGACATGAAGGTGGTACGTTCCCAAGGAGGATAAGTTGATGCAATATGGGAGAATACTAAATTCTTTTTTTTTACTTCGTCCCGAATGAACGAAATAGATGGACTTGATGAGTTCATAGTCCAATAAAGGAATAATGTATTATAAAACGAATGCATTATAACAGAGCCGTCTAATAAATTTAGAGGCCTTGTTCTAAATACCAAAATGAGGCCCCGCATATGAACAAAAATTAAATCACAAATAAAAAAAATTCACAAAATTTAACAAAATTAATTGTGTCCAAGTGTTCATACATAAAAATACATGATTTAAAATAACTAAATATAATTATTATGCTATTATTTGAATAAAGTTGCCCTCACAATTACGAAGTATTTTTTAGCAACTTCCAAGCTCCGTCTTCCGTTTAGTGTTGTAGTCCTAGCCGCATGCTTATTTTGTTTATTTATATTATATTATTAAAACTATTTTCTAATTTGCTACTACATATAATACGGAGTACTATATAGTAATATTACTAAAGAATTTTTTTTGGGGGTCCTGAAAAAAATGAGGCCCTGTTCTAGAGAACACCCTGCACATGCCAAACGCCGGCTCTGTATTATAAATGAGTTTTAACAGCACAATAAAGTGCATTTCTTGAGTTTGGCTCACTGCATGGTTTAGGAATTTTCCATCACCGGAGTATCCTCTTTATTCTTTGGTGACAATATCTACTTCAAATTCGTCTACCCGTACGGCTTCCACTTCTTGACTTGCATCATTTGAACTTGTTTAATGATCACGATATGATAGATCTGCAAAATCCACTTGGTATAAAAATAACAAACAAATTGTTAAACATTCAACACAAGTCGGACATTTATAACAAGAGTTAATTTTTTTTTTCTTTCTTTTTTCATAACAAGAGTTAATTATCAAAATAGGACTAAAAGTCATTCACTTTGCACAAATAGGACCAAAAAATAAACTATGTTTCCATAGGACTAATTATGTGTGTCTTGGACAAATATACCCTTATACCTATTGGAATGTTTTAATTCATAATAAAATAATAAAAAATAATAAAAATTCGTAAAATATACCAAAAATTAATAAAAATATTTTGAATAATAATAAATTTTAAAAAAAATTAAAAAAAACAATTAAAAAAATAAAAAAAAAAATCAAAAATTTTGTTTTTGTCACCGCCGCCTCTGCCGCCCCAGCACCACCACCTCAAGTCATTTGGGGAAAAAATGCCAAATTTATTATGAATTCCATATTTTTGGCATACTTCAGAATGATTTAAGATGGCAGAAAAAAACATTGGCATTGTCAAAGAGAAATATGCCATGTTTTTGGCATTTTCCGGAAAAAAATGGAAGTTTGTAGGAAATATGACTTTTTTTTGTAACGGTCGGAGGTGGTGGTGCAGGGAGGCGGTACCACCACCTCCTGTCACCGGGGTAAAAAAATGCCAAAAAAATTATGAATGCCATATTTTTGGCAAAAGTCAAAAGAATTCAAGTTGGCAGAATGAAAATGTTGGCATTCTCATAGAGAAAATTGCCATTTTTGTGGAATTTAAAAAAAAGTGCCATTTTTTACACCGATCGGAGGTGGTGGTTCAGGGAGGTAGTACAGGCGGTGGAAAAGGTATCCATATATTTTTAATTTTTTTATGGAGTTTGACTATTTTTTATTAATTTTCAAAAAAAAAATCTTATTTTTTATTTTATAAAAATTTTAATTTTTTTTTTTATTATTTTTCTACGAATTATTTGAAATTTTTTCGGATTTATTATGAATTAAACATTTAATTATAACTTTTAGCTATCTTTTACTAATAATTAAAGGAGGGGTAAAAATGGAAGGAAGAAATGGGTATGTTTCCAATAAGACCACTATGGTCCTATTTTGGAATAAAAACATAACAAGTCCTATTTTGAGTTTTTTGCCATTGTTTTAGTCCTATTTGAAGTAATTTCTATTATAACAAACACAACACATGCGTACATTACATGTCACATATGCAATCATATATATAAGCTTAGTAAAAATGACAATAGTCATAGATGGGGAAAGAGACAAGATTTTGATCATACAAGAGGTAATTTTATCTTTGCATTTCAAGTTTCAACACTTTTCAACTAATTTATGTTTATTTTAGCCTCACACTCGTGCATAAATACCATGTTACATTCTTAAATTTATAGTTTACCAACCAATAATTATTAAAAATTAAAACGCAGATTTTTTCAATAATTATTTAAGTGGTCATGACTTTCTGATTGAATTTTAAGCTAAATTTTTGTGGAGTTAATCTACAGTTATTGGATAACATGTTCACAAAATTTAATCAAAATTTTCATAGTCAAGCCCCTCAAACATGTTTGGTCGTGCATGCGTAAAACGAATGAAACTTACCGCCAATCAGATATTGTAACTAGACTTCGACTTCAAAACCATACACGTCTGCGGTCCATCTAACATCCTCGCAACCCGATCAACGCCTTTCGTTGACCCAAACCCAACCCGCACATCCTTGCAGGTTGCCAAAATGTAAAACACATTCTCGACCTCAGTGCCGGGATCCTCCTTAACCCTACTTTTCACTTCAATTGTGAAATTGTACACTGCCGCCGATTTCAAATCCGGCGGCACAAGAGAATCATTGGCGGCCAGCAGCACCGGCTTTAGCTCAAAATTTCTCTGCCAGACGGTCCCGGGGTGGGCTCGCATTAAGGTCTGGTCCTGGCCGGCCCAGACCACCAATACCTCGATCTCATCGTATTGATCATACAAAGAATGGTATACATCTAGTTTAGACCTAATAACGTCGTCCGGTTTGTTGTTGTTGAAAGCGAAAGCAATGGTGTAGTTGGCCGTGAGCGGCGGTGATCGAGAAGTTCTGTTGGCGGCGGCAAGTCGAGGTGAGAGCGTGAAGTTATTGATGTACACTTCTGGAGGAGATGGATATGTCGTATCCAAGACATTAGCTACAATGAACACCCCAACTGGGATTAGTATGACCATTGGTATAACAGCTACACATGGATCACAGTCATCACACAAATCATCTTCCGCCATGCTTGATTTGAATGCCAACGAACCTAAGCTTTGCTCTTTAAAATAATAATTATAATAATAATACTTTGTACTTTATGTCCGGCTACTTTAAAATTTGATTATATAATAATGCTGAGAATGATGAGGATCTAGGCCAGAGAGGTTTAATGATCTGGGATTAGTTAATCTCTTCCAACGAATATGCCTATCTTGAAGGAATGCATGGCTCACGCTTATCCAACAACTGAAATGCTACGTATAATATAACCACGCAGTAATTAATTACGCATCATATGGTACTCATGTTGTTTTCTCCCTAATTAAATAATACTCATATATGATTCATTAAGTCCCTAAATTAAGACTCATTAACTTTTAAACTCCACAGAGTAATTTTTAAAATTTTAAGATGATCAAATTAATAAGTCCTATATTGAGAATAACTCCCTAAATTAAGACTCATTAACACCTCATTTGATAACTTTTAAACTTGTAATATGATCAAATAAGTCATATTTTGAGATTTTCAAAAAAAAGTTTGTGCACTTTCTTAATAATACTACTTTTGTCTTTTTTTTAAACGATTATTAATATATGTATGTGCATCTTAATAGGAAGGGAGATTTGCAGATTTCATCCTTTAACTTTCGGCCACTTTCATTATTAGTCATGCAACTTTATTACTTGAAAATTTGGTCATGTAACTAATAAAAATATTCGATTTAAAGCATCCCCTGAAAAGTAAACTTTCCGACGAAAGTATCACGAAAAAAATACTACCGGCATCGGATTTTTCTAACGGCACATGTATACTTTCTGGTAGAAAAGTCTTGTTGCAAATAGTTATTAGTTGTCAGGACCGAATTGAAACCGAAGTCCTCCCCCTTTAGAATCCTAGTGCCATTCAAATGTTGTCCGACGGGATTAAGGAGATTACGTGGAGCCGGTGGAGGACGGGAGGGATTGGGACTAGGGGTGGGCAAACGGGTATATGAACCACGGGTCAGGCCAGGTAATACGGGTTCAGGGCGGCTTAAGGTCGGATCCTGAATATGGAAAACTGAAACAGTTCAGGGCTGGGCGGTTCTTTAAAAATTTAGGAACAGAACGGGTCTTAAAATTTGAAAAAGTGGGTATCTGGCACGATTCGTTTTATAGTATTATTTTAATAAACTCCATTGTATTTAACAACACAAGAAAACTCTTTATGTTTATGTATCTATACAAAGACTCATTTAAAGAAACTTTTGATTCTATTAAAAAGAGTTTCAAAATTCATATAAACTTTTAAATTATTCTCCCCAATTCTTTCAGATCCTGAATTGACAAAATTTCTATTTTTTGTATACAAAGACTCTTACTCAATGAAGTGTGACATATCCATTTAATTATCTTAACTTCTTATATATTGAAATTGAATAAGCTTTGAAAATGTTTCATAGACAAAAATGTATAGAAACTAGTTTATCACTACACCATAAATGGCCTATAACAACACAATTATAAAGTGTTGCTATAAAAATTTAGATAAAGGCTAGAGAAATTCGATGTAAGGCATCACTATACGAAAAGTGTTGCCATAGAGATGTTTTCAAGGTTTTAAGTGTTAAAAATACTTTAAAGCAACACTTTTTAATAAGTGTTGCACTATAGTTATTCAACAACAAAAAAGTGTTGCACGTCACTATATATAGTGTGAACTGTGAAATTAAAAAAACAAGAAATTGGATAACTAAAATGATAGCACAAAAATATGAGCACATTTTAAAAAACAATAAAGTCAACACCACATATTTAATAAGCTTGTACGTAAAATTATGTAAATATAATAAATAATGAAGTATTAAGCAGACGTTCAAACCATATAAATAATAAGATCGCATATTGCAATTAAATGTGTTCATATATCTTAAATTAGGCCAAAACAACTCAATTAATCAAATGAAAAATTAATTTTTAAAATATATTTTATCAACTAAAAATATTTTCCAAAATTGTATATTCCAATAGAAAAGCATCTTTAAGGGTCTGATCTGATTGATAACCCAATTTTTAGCTTATCAGACTTATCAATCAATATTTTAACCAACCACATAATATTTGATTTTGTACAAATGTCAATAAGGATGTTTTTATTATTTGGATTTAAATTTTCTGGTTTGTTCTGATCTGGTCTAGTCAATTTATCTCTGATCTAGTATAATCTGATCTGATCTGGTCTAATTTGGTCTGGAATTAAAATAAGTACAAATGAAAATATCCTAATGAGGCTAACCCGTAAAAATAACGAAGTGGTTTTTTTAATAGTTTGGGTTTTTCATATAATTTTTGTTACATATATTCACTTAATTGTCTTTTCATTTCTAGGTTATTTGGGTCTTAAGAAAAAAGTGGAGGGAAAGTAAAAAAAAAAAATTAGATTTCCCGCCGCTCTCTTTCCTTCTGATGTTGGTGATTTTCCCTAGCACTCACAATTTCTCCACACAATCTGTTTCTTCAACCTTCCACTATCTTCTACTACGTAATATATTTTTCTTCTGCCGCCAGCTCTTCTATTAGGAACATGGTATTTCTTTCCTTTTATTGCAACAATCTGCCGTTTGGCTCTTAATCGTTGATAACTGGAGCTTCTCATTCTCTCGCACCTAGGAGAATCAAGATTCTTATATTCCATATGCTTTAATTTGACTCCGATCGATACACACAGCAAGGTTAGAGCTATACCATTACTTTTTGGTGCATATACTAAATTGTTCAATCTTTATGCTTGAGAGAAGTTGGGGATTCTTTTTACGTTTTCAGTCCAGATTCAGTTTTTATTCCAGTTTTTATTGAATTTATGTGTTTTAGAATGTTTATGTGACTATAAATGAAGTGTATGGTGACTTTGAGTGTTAATTTTACTTGAAATAGCAGAATAAATATTTTGATTGTCTAAGTTGTAAAGGTGACTTTGAGTGTTAATTTTGCTAGAGAGGACTTTAAAAAACGATTGCAATGTTGGCCTTTTTCTTCAATAACTTGTTTGTACTATGTTTTTACTTGGATTAATTTTATCTTTGCAAAATATCCAAATCTTGAGTTCCCAAAGCCACCTTCCTATCTAATATAGCAATATGGGTCCAGTTATTTCTTCCTTGAATTTCGTATATGGAAGTTAAGCAATATTTAGACAATATATTACTGTTTTGTTTTTATTTCTTCAATGAAGTATAACATCCATATTTAATGATTCCCTATCAAATTTGTTATGATAGCATGTCTGGTATGAGTATATATGCAGGGCTTACTTCCTTGATAAGTCCTTGATTTGTATTTAAGAGTGTTCTTAAATTAACTGTGCAGTTTTTTGCATTATTAAAGTTACTTTAAATCTTTTTACTTAACAATGGGTGATGACAGTTGGTTGGAACAACCAAGGTATAGTGAAACTTATGTGAATGGAGTGAAAGATTTTATCAAAAATGTGTTTTCAAGCTATTCCACCGGAGACCAGTGTAGGTGTCCGTGTAAAAGATGCAATAATCGTAAGTGGCATAATCGTGATACCATCTACGATCATCTCATTTGTAATGGGTGCTCTCCAAATTTCTTCAACTGGACTCGTGATGTTTCACAAATGCAAGATTTCAGTGAAAGTGTTCATGAAACCGTTAGGGGTCAAGAGTTTGATGATGGGCTAAATGAGATGTTGCACGCCACTTTTGCATATGAAACAGAAAATAGTGGCTTGAAGGTTGGGCCAAATGCAGATGCAAAAAATTTTTATAAACTTCTTGATGAGGGAAAACAACCATTGTATGAAGGTTGTGAAAAGTTTTCAAGGTTAAGTTTCACAATTAGGCTTTACCTTTTCAAGTGTACGCATGGAGTTACCGAAGCTGCATTTTCAGATCTTTTAGAAGTGATCAGGGATGCTTTTCCCTTTGCTAATGTACCTAAATCTTTTAATGCTGCTAAGAGTGTAATTAAAGATTTAGGTCTGGGTTATGAAAAAATACATGCATGCCCTAATGATTGCATGTTATTTTGGGCTGACAATCAAAGTGAAGACACGTGCAAAACTTGTGGTGCATCGAGGTGGAAATTAACGGAAGGTGAATCTATTAGCGGAGATGTAAACACTAAAAATAAGATGACTAAAGTTGCTGCAAAAGTGATGAGGTATTTTCCTCTTAAACCAAGATTGCAACGAATGTATATGTGCAAGGAGTTCTCTGAAAGTATGATATGGCATGCAAGAGACCGAAAAGATGATGGGAAGTTAAGGCATCCAGCGGATGGTCAGGCTTGGAAGGCAATGGATGCTAGGTATCCACAATTTTCACTTGAAGCCCGCAATGTTCGATTTGGTTTAGCTTCTGACGGGTTTAATCCTTTTCAGACAATGAGCATATCTCATAGCACATGGCCAATTGTGTTGGTGAATTACAACCTACCACCTTGGTTGAGCATTAAAGAACAAAATTTAATTCTTTCAACACTAATTCCTGGACCTACTTCTCCTGGGAAGAACATTGATGTTTATATGCAGCCCTTAATCACAGAGTTGAAAGAATTATGGGATGTGGGGTTAGAAACTTATGATGCTCGGAATGATGAAACTTTTTTGTTACGTGCCAGTATACTTTGGACAATTAGTGATTTTCCTGGTTATGCAATGTTATCTGGATGGAGCACACAAGGAAAATTGGCTTGTCCGACATGCCATTACGAGACGTCCTCAATGTACTTGAAACATAGCAAGAAAATGTGCTACATGAATCACAGGAAGTTCCTTGATATCAACCATGAATGGAGGTCAGATAGAAGAAAATTCAATGGTGATATTGAAGTTGGAGAGGAACCAAGTCAGTTGTCTGGCTTAGACGTTGAAGACCTTTTAAGTGGGTTCAAGAATTCATTTGGAAAACAAATAAAAAAACGTAAGAGAAATTCTAATATTCCATGGAGAAAGAAGTCGATTTTCTTTGAGTTGCCGTATTGGAAATATAATTTATGTCGCCATAATCTTGACGTCATTCACATTGAGAAAAATATTTTTGATAATATATTGGGGACTTTATTGAATATTAGTGGAAAGAGTAAAGATCACTTTAATGCTCGATTTGATTTGCAAGAAATGGGGATTAGGAAGGTGTTACATCCCACTTTTTCTAGTGACGGGAAACACATCGAGATTAGACCTGCTATCTTCGATATGAATGATAAAGAGAAAGAGTTGTTTTGCTCTGTGCTGCATGACTCCAAATTACCACATGGAACTGCTTCCAATATTGGTCGTTGTGTAGAAATGAGTGCGAGGAAAGTATCAGGATACAAGAGCCATGATGCTCATTTTATCCTCCAAAATTTGTTACAATTTGCTATGAGGAAATCATTGAAAAGAGAGGTTGCTTTGCCTTTGATGAAACTGGGTTCATTCTTCAAGAGTTTGTGTAATAAAGTTATTGACCCAAATGATTTAGAGAAGCTTCAAAATGGAATTGTGGAGACAATTTGTCAACTTGAAATGATATTTCCACCATCATTCTTTGACATAATGGTTCATTTGCCCGTTCACTTGTGTAAAGAAGTTGAGCTTGGTGGACCAGTGTATAATAGATGGATGTATTTTATTGAAAGGTTCTTGGGAAAATTGAAGTTTTTTGTTCGTAATAAAAGTAAACCAGAAGGTTCTATGGCAGAAGCATACTTGGTTGAGGAATGTTTGACTTTCTGTTCTAGATACATGGGTGAGAATGTAAAGACAAAAAGGCACAATTTCTCGAATAAATCTGAACGGGATGGGTACCCTTTGGGGATTGGGAGAAACAAAAAAGGAAAGGCTATTCATATGGATGATGATACGTTTATCAAATCTCATCGATACATTCTATTCAATTGTGGAAGTGATGAAATTGAAAAGTTAATGAGGTGAACAGCTTACAGAAATTATTATTATTATTATTATCATTATTTATTATTATTATTGTTATTATTTTACTTGGTAACCATTTTATTTAATTTACTTTGCAGGGAACATCAGATAATAGTTGAGAACATTGCAAAGGCAAAGAAATACAAAAGAGCTCGAGCACATAGTGAAGAATTTCACAAGTGGTTGAAGAATGTGGTTATGCAAACTGGTGATGTTTCAAAACAGTTATTAAGCTTGGCAAAGGGTCCAAACCGAGTGGCAAAGAGGTTTAGTGGTTATGTAATAAATGGTTACAGGTTTCATACGATTAATAGAGATAAAAAGCGTACAACCCAAAACAGCGGTGTGTTTCTAAAGGCCCTTACCACGTGTTTTGCAAGTTCCAACGATCAAAAACCAATGACAGAAGATGTAAGTTATTATGGTTCAGTACAAGAAATCATTGAGGTGGATTATTGGGCAGAGTATACAGCTGTTTTGTTTAGGTGTTGTTGGTACCAAGAAGAAAAAGATGATTATGCGCTTCTTCGAGTTAATTTCAATAAACTCTGTTATAAAAACGACCCTTTTGTGTTAGCTACACAAGTACAACAAGTGTTTTACATTGAAGATGCTACTGAAAAGGGATTACACTATGTGGTCAAAAATTGTCCTAGAAACTTCTTTGATATAGAAGATACAAAGAATGATAGTGAAGAGGAAATGGTTGAACCTCCATTACATGATAGAGACGATATTAATCTGTGGGAGTGCATTTGGGAAAGAACAGATGTACCAAGAACAGAGATTCCGGTTGAATTAAATGATTATGTGGCGGATGAACCTCACCCTGATATGGAAGATACAAATGAGATAGAATGATTACAAATTCTATTGGTAACACAAGTAATTTTTTGGTAGTATGTTACTAACTGTTTTTCATGTTAGTATGCATTTAAAATAGTGCTTATTAAATGTTAATGTAATTTATATTCTCTAGACTTAACCAGTACATGAGATTGACTTGTAATGTGTGCAAAATGTTAGCTCGTTTTCTTAGAATACTGTTATTTGAATGCAGAATGGTAGACAAAGTGCTTTCTTTGAACTTCATCACCGGTGGAACATTTCTGAAGACCAAATACTCTGGTGGATATCATAGGAAGGTTAAAGATGCTATTGACATGGAGAGATTTTCATATGCTGTGTTGATGGAATATGTGAAGGAAGACTGTTTGTTCGAAGAAATTGGAGGTGTTTATGTTCCCAATGCGAACAGAGTCGGATGGAAGCTGCTTACAAACGACAGTGATGTTATGAATTATGTGCTTGCACGTGAAAAGGATGATGTTATTCATTTTTGGATTGACCATGTAGCTGATGAAGAAATTCCTCCAATGGATCAGAATCAACCACATGTGATTATAAGACCTAGAAAGTGTATCTTAACAGGTATCTATATCAAATTCCTTAATTTTAATTGTATATTTGACTTTATTAAAATGATTTTATCTTTTAATTTGTCATGGTTAAACACTGATATGACCTTATTTGTTTATAGGATCAAATAATCTACCAAAAAGAAATTTTTGCACTCTAAAGTCTGTTCAAGAACAATATCATGAAAAAGTAAGAAAAAATAAAGAACCACGCATCACAGAAAGGAGAAAAATGAAGGCACAAGACGAGTTGGGTGTAAAACATGTTCGTGATTCCTCTGAAGTCCATCCTTTACACAGTGATGGAGATGTAAGTTCATTATTTATGTAATTCTCGGAAAACTAAATTTTGATTACTATTTTGCCAATCTATTTGATCCATTAAAATGGTCTTCAGGACTTACCTCTTGGTGAGGATGATATGAGTTTATTCACGACAAAATCATATGAACAAAGCAGATTGGAAAATATTGAAGTTAACAACCAACGCTTGACTGCACTTGGGCTGCGTAAGTTATCAGTAGAATTGAATTCTCGTGGTCCAGAGAAGGAAAAGAAAAGAAAACAAAGGAGCCCCAAAGAAGTCCATAAAAAAATAATTTAAAAGATGTAAAATAATAGTAGTTTTTTATATTCTTTAGCTAAATTAGTTATCTATAACACAGCTAGTAGAAGTCGATGGACATCAAAGGAAAGCGTCTCACCCAAAAACACGCTCCCAATCCAATGTGCATGAAATGTTTGATGAAAATGAATGTGCAGTACCCACTTCTACACAGGTACAATTTGTAGTCGGCACTCAATTTATTTTCTTTATTATTGGTTTAAATAAATCATTTTTTTATTTCTTCTTTATTTTTTTTTAATCTAATTTGGTATCATTTATCTATAGTTTGTATTAATTTGCTACATCATTTATTACAATGTTACATTTTTCAAGCTTATTTTGCAAAAGACCATTAATGAAGTAGTGAAAAAGTGCACTCGTAAAGGGCCTGCAAAAGAGCTTAACGAATCAAGAAATGGAGAGTTAGGATCTATGTCAGCTTATATAGCTTTGAAGAAGAAAAAGCAAATGATTGAAGTCAGAGATGAGGGAGATTCGATTGAAATGCATGATACTATAGTTCAACAACACAATGCCGAAAAGGGACAGGAAACACCTCAAACAAGTACTGCAGAAAACCAACAAGGTAATTTATTTATTTTAGTGAAGTGATTGTGCGTTTGAAGTATGTGTTAGTGAATTATGATTTTAAGTATCTATATCACAGAGAAAAAATGTAGAGGACCGACAAGAATGTTTTCTGTCCACACAAGAAATGAAGAAGAAAAGAAAGTTATTGACTTGAATGAGTTTAATCAAGCAGTGGCAAATGATGATAAAACACTTTCAGAATTCAGCAATTTCTTAGGAACTTTAGCAAGGCAATGTGTGCCTCTTTGTTGTGTCAACTGGCATGCATATCCTCACAAAGAAGACTTGTGGACATATGTCCAGGTAATATACCTTTTTTAAAATCATTAATCCTCCTAGCTAGAGACATATGTCTGCTTTATACAAACTGTGTATATTGCTTAAAATGTAATCTTTTTCAGGAAAAATACACAATATCTGATGAAGGAAAGGCTTGGGTATTGAAGACTATTAATGATACATGGAGATGCTACAAAGCTCGCATTAAAAAGAATCATTATAAAAAATTCTCTACTAATGAGGAGAGGATAGAAAATAGGCCACTAGAGATACCAAAGGATGAATTTGAGTTGGTTATGAAATACTGGGGACGCAAAGAAGTCCAGGTATATATTGTTTCTATTGCACAACGACAAGTAAAGTAAATATCTTGTGTATACTTTGTTGCTAACTTCTATTATTAGGCAAAAGCTGAGAAAAACACTTCCAACCGAAAGAAAGTAAAGGACACACACACTGTTGGACCGCGAAGTTTTGCCCAAATTCGCGAGAAATTGGTTTGTTTGATATTTAATTATGTTTTATGTGACCAGTATCATTCTATAAGTTCCCTTGGTAAAGTGATTTAATTTTTATCATTGATTTATGTTAGCAATCTAAAAAACCAAACAAGGAGAAAGCAAGTAAAGCAGAAGTGTTTCTTGTAACGCGTAAGAGAAAGGCTGGTCGTAAGTATGCTTCGTTAAATGATGTGACAGAGTACAAAATTGTGAGCAATTTATGAAGATGGGTTAATTTGTATCTTAATCATTTAATTATAGATTGTTTGTGGAATAGTGATAACTAACTCGTGCACTAATGTGTAGGCGAGGCTTGAACAACTCGTTTCATCCGGACCGGAAAACAATGAGATGGTTGAGCAACTTATTGGAGACATATCACATGGACCAAATTATCTTATAGGAAGGCGTGGGAGATCAAAGAAACAGAAGGCACCACCTCCTAACATTTCAAAATTAAAAGAAGAAATGGCGGAAGAAATGAACAAGAAAATTCAGCATTGCTTAGCCTTTGCTATAACTAAATTGGCAGCCGATAATCCAAATTTGAAAGTCAATGTTGATGAGCTTTGTGCAGCAATGCCATTTGATGTTTGTAGGGACCAGCTTCAAGATGATTCCAACTCTTCTGATTCTAATGAGACTGAAGCATCTAAGGGAGATTAAAAGATTGAAACATACTCAAGGTTAGTATTTTGTAAGAAGTTTAATTAATTTGTGAACATGCTTTAAGATTTGTAAGAAGTTTAATGCATTCCTAGTTCTCTTTGCTTTTTACTATAGCTCCACCTATAATAACTTTACCCCATGGGCGCTTGAAATGTCCACTGGCACCACTGTTTGTGGTCTAGATCACTAAATGGAGTTGTAGTTTTGAAATAAACCTGTCTTTCCATGTTTGACCAGCTCCACTAGATGATTTGCAACTCCCTGTTTGGTTCACTTGCAACTTTAGCTTGTATCAAAAGACTGCCGAGTAATCAAGGCTTGAAGTGTTGAATTTGTTAATTTTACTCAAGCTGATATGGCTGATGAAGATGTCTTATCTATAAAAACTCTTTATTTCAAATATGTCTTTACATTATTTAACCCTCAAATCAATTTTCTAAAATAGTAGTGCTCTCAGTCACTATATTAACAAAAAAAAATGACATAATACACCCCTTGTGTTTTATTAATAGCTAATGCTACTAACTAGTACAGTGCAACAAAGTAAATTAGTGTTATGCACGATTGTTCAGTGGTGTGGCTTATTTGCTGAACATTTATTGCACTTCACAAATAAGTGGTTTATGACCTAGGGGTTCAGATAGGTAAACTAATCAATGAGGGATCTAATGGTGTAGTTTCTTTATTTTTGTTTTACTCAATCTCCTAGAGCAGGGTAAACCCCATTAGTTTAATATGTAGTATTGAAAAGGTTAAATCAATACTAATGAGTAGGGTTGGACCCAGTTTTGGAGCGGGTCTGGCACTGTTTGGGAGTGGATTGGGTCCATTTCGACCGGTTTCAGGCCAAGGCTCGGCCATGTCCGCCCTAGAGCGGTTCACGGTCCCGGTTTACAGCTTTGCATTGGGGACCGAACCGAGCAGTTCTTGTCCCGGTTCCCATTAATTTTTTTTATAGTTTTTTGGCCCTTTTTAACCAGTCCCAGACTCCCAGCCCATCCTTATTATGGAAGAACTGGAGTCACTATAGATCATTCTAATTATAGTGTACTTAATCATGTTGTGTGATCTTAATCAAAAGATATTGCTTTATATAGGACTGTGTGAGTTAAAATAAGTTGTGTTTCTTAAATATGAGTACTATGTATTTTGAGTTTTTAATGGTCTCACATTATGATTTTGAGTGTTTCTAGTTACTTGGATCTTCCTCCTTTACTTCGTATATTACAAATAATTGATTTGGTGTTTGATATACTTGTTTTTTTATTTCAGGTGTTGATGGTATGTGCTTTTTTGTTCATTGGTTATGGACTTATGGAGGCTGATTCTCATTTTGGATGCAAGAATAGTTAGAACTCTTGCTATCAAAATTGTGATGTTTTTTGAACTTTTTTGGATTGTAATTAATTTTGTTATGATACACATGAATGGATGGAAGTTACTTTATTTTAATTAATTATATTGTATTCGTAAGTATAATTTTTTGTCTAATATGTTTGCAAGTTCTTGTTTGCTAAATGCCTAACAGATCGAAAATGTTCTATTATTCCAGCATATGACCAATGAGAGAGTAGCTAATTAATTAGTTATTAATGAATGACAATTGCAGTAGTTATGATTATACATGTTGCAATTCAAGAAATTAAAAATTGCTTTAAGAGATATTGAACAATGGTCAATTTTAATTTTAAATGTTTCAAATTTTCAATTTGTGCTAAAACAATGGTTTTAAAATAATAATAAAAGCATCACAATCTTAGTGCAAAATGTTGCTTCAGGTGTTGCTTTAGGTGTTGCAGTATCCATGTGTTATATGTGCATTAAAAAGTGTTGCCTTACTCTTTGTGAGGAATGATGTTGCCTTAGCTAAAATAGTTGCAACACTTTTTAATTTGTTGCCATAGACACCAATGGCAACGGCTAAAATTTCAACACTTTTAAAAATGAAAATGTGTTGCCATTGATCCTAAAGCAACACATTAGAGGTGTAATACAACATTTTTGAAGTGTTGCCTTAAGTCATTTATAGTGTAGTGTATTTGTTACCACTTTATAGTGCTTTCTTTTTTGTTTATGGATGATGATTTCTAAATTTTTACATTTTAAAATTTGATGCTATTTAACTTAAGTGGTTGTGTGTTTTTTATTTATAGATATACTGTTAGATATTTTGTTGACTAATTTAAAATGTCGTGTTATTTTTTTAGTTTGATTTTTTTACTATACTATGGTGAAATTGATATTTAATTAGTTTGACAATTTTATAGCTTAGTAACATAAATTTGTGTGGTGAATTTTATAGCTTAATTAACTCCTGATGAATTTGATACTTTTCTAGCACAGTCATATTTTTAATACAAAAAAGAACCAAAAACTCGGACTGAGCTGGCCCATTTCAAACGGAGTGGTTAGATCCAGTTCCAATTGCAAGACGTGGTATACTCCAACCAAACCTACATGTTACCTTAAATTGACAATTCTTAAAAAATTATTCTGTATCAAATACCCGAACCAATCCAGACTTTGCCCACCCCTAATTGGGGCAAAGTATTGGATACGCAGGTTGAATAGGAGGGGAAGGACGTTGACTTGGAGCAAAAAACGCATTGTGGATAACTGGATACCATGGACTCATGGAGGCCGGGATAAATTTAATATATTTTTGGAGGCTTTAGAGTAAAATAGAGGCTAAAAATAAAACTACCCGTAAACAAATCATCATTTATTAGAAAAAAGCAAACATTAATTTATTCATATCGCCCGGTCCATGATCTTCAACCCATAATCAATCAAATTTGCGAACGATGATTCGATGAAATTATGTGTTAGTCAATATTTGGGAAAACTGTCAAATAGGTCCTCGAACTTTCATAAAAAGGTCGATTAAGTCCTTCTATAGGAGGTTCTGTCCGGCCGTCGCGATTTGGGACAGTTCCCGGTGGAATTTTTTGATGAAATTTTTTAAGCATCTTATTCACTAAGTCTAGTTTACTCATACCAAATTTCAGCTAAAAATTCAATCAGGGACACATTCAAATTAATTCTTGAAAATAACTGCTCATTTTTGCGTTCTCGAATTAATTTGAATGTGCTTCCAATTAAATTTTTAGCTGAAATTTGGTATGAGTAAACTACACTTGATAAGTAAGATGCTCAAAAAAATTCATTAAAAAATTCCACCGGGAACCGCCCCAAATCGCGACGACCGGACAGAGTCTCTTATAGAAAGACTTAATTGACTTTTTTATGAAAGTTCGAGGACCTATTTGACAGTTTTCCCGTAAATATTTATATTAGGTATCCGCTTCTTGCAAAAAAAAGGAAGAAATACTTGTCTACAATCGCTGGATTGAAAATTTCCTAAATAGGACTAAAACCGTTTGAAAATTCCAAAATAGGACTGCCATGTTTTTTATTCCCACAATAGGAGTAATTACTGTCAAATTTGGAAAATATTGTCATGTTTGAAGTCTGGTACTGCCAAAACATAACAGTAATTAGTCTCATTTTGGAAATAAAAACATGGCAATCCTATTTTGGAAATTTCAAACCTTTTTAGTCCTATTTCGAGTAATATTCTCTATTTTTAATTTAAAACTTGGGCTTGAAAAAGTAAAAACATACTACTCCGTATTATTTACTCCCTCCGTAACTTAAAAATCTTTTCACTTTCCTTTTTCGTCCGTAACAAAAAAATCTTCTCATTTCTAAATCTTCCCATCATACCCTCAATAATTTCTAAAATAATACACTATTACAACTACTTTTTTTGGATTTATCCTACATTCCACCACATTATTCCACAATTTTCCCATCATACCCTCAATAATTCATATCATCTTTCACTATTCTTAATCTACCTACTTTTGAAATGGGAAGATTTCAAAGTTACGGAGGGAGTATTTTTTTGAGCTAGTACTACAAACCACTCACATGCTAAACAAAAACTACATAATCATTACAAACCTGACAACGGGACCATTCGTGATAACATTCCGGTGTCCCAACCATATCCCTCTTTAAACCAGTACGTGATCGGTGCAGGACAAAATGATCGGGTCTCAAAGGGAACAAAACAACACCAGTACGATTTCGGGATACATCACAATGAGACAACAAGATCAAGATTCTTACCAACCCCTAGATATAAGGGTTTGAGACTAAACATAAACACACAGAGCATATCACAATGCCAAAATGTAAAAACCAGTGTAACTACAGGAGAATGATCTATAAAATCAAACATCACACATCACAAAGATGAACAATTATACAATGCCATCCTCATTTCCAATTGTAAGACCATGATGGCCTTCTAGCATTTGTTTTATATATCACAAATTCACAATCAGATGTCAATAAAAGAGACTGTCAATCATGTATTGTTGGTATTAGGCGTTTTGGAAAAATCCCTGCATCTTGAACCTACATCGCAAGATTTAGTTTATTTCTTAATAATAAATTAAAACTACAACACAAAACATGTATGGATATCACCAGGATAGAACTGCAGGGAGATGGAATTCTCATCAGGATTCAGAGGTTGAAGAAGCGTCATCTTTGTGCTTAACCATGCCAGAATCAACAAGAACTGGAATTTCTGCTGCAAGCCATGGCGCGAGACCCAAACAGAGGGCATGTGCTATTCCAAACCTCGGGCTGGCAAAACCAGCAAGTAAATCAATGTTCAGTGATAATAATCAGAACTTAACAAGAACTGTAAACAAAATCCATAAATCTGAAGAAAAGAAAAGAAAACCCCTAATTCTTGTTTGCTCTACTATAATTACCAATTCTTCGCCCAGAGTGGCTTGAAATGCACCGTCAAGCAAATCTTTCCTCCTCGATACATCTAAACATTCAAAATTGACAAAATCACAAACCAGAGGTGCAGCAAAACCAATGGATCCAAAATCTTCAAATTCCAAAAAATACAGAACCTTTTCAGTCTTCCCATCGAGTTGGGGCAACTCGAGTTCCGGAGCGGTAGCGGGGTAGGTGACAGGGATGTCAAATTGGAGGTCAAATTCATACTTGAGAAGATTGTGGACATACCAGCACTTGCCGGTCCACCGAGTCCCTTCCGGGTTAGCGGCGGAGATACGAAACCAGTCATTATCCCTCGACTTGTTCATCGACGTATAGGTGATAAGTGCCTTGTACTCCTCCTTGAGCCGCTGTGTCCAGGCTGCGCCATCTCGCGGCCCTGCTTTCGCCGTCAGAAGTGGGATCTGTGTGAGAGTTGATTTCGTATTTGGATCCCAACCCTCCATTCCCAAAACCTAGATCCAAGCTTGAGTGATTTCGTATTTGCTTTCCAGTTTCTAACAGAGTTGAATCCGGAAAAACGTAAATCGAATCAAAATCAAACTAAATCAAATCACAATCAAACTAACTTGAAATGCAAAAAATGGGATGCTAAAAAACTCGACCAAACTATAAGGGCCTGTTTACTAACAGAGATATTTTCCTGTTTTCTACTTCTGTTTTTCGTTCTCCAATTTTCTGTTTTTATTTTTCAGTTTTTCTATCTCCAATTTTCTGTTTCTATTTTTTAGTTTTCCATTTTCAAATTTGAAAACATGTTCATCAATTTTTTCACATAGTTCTCCAATTTCACACCCTTGACCCCTACCTCTACTCTTACCACGATCTTACACTCTACCCATACTCCACCACAACCCTTCATACCCACCCATACCTACTCGTAGGGGTCGGGGTAGGGAAGTTATTGGTGAGGGTGGGGTAAGGGGTATGGTCGGGGTGGGGTGGTAAGGTCTAGGAGTAGGGGGTTGGGTGGGGGTAATGGGTGGGTTAGGGTCGTGGTTAGGGTTAAGGGTGGGGTAGTGGGTAGGGTTGGGGTAAGGTAGGGGTAGGGTAGGGAGTTGGGATAGGATGGCGGTAGGGTGGGGTCGGGACCAGGGTCCGGGGTAGGATGGCGGTAAGGGTGGGGGTAGGATGGCGGTAAGGGTGGGGGTAGTGGGTAGGGTTTGGGGTTGGGGTAAGGTAGGGGTAGGGTAGGGAGTTGGGATAGGATGGCGGTAGGGTGGGCCCGGAATCCGGGTGGGGTCAAGGTAGGGTAGGGTGGGGGTGGGGGTAGGATGGCGGTACGAGGGTGGGGGTAGGATGGCGGTGGGGTGGGGCCGAGGTAGGAGGCATGTGGTAAGGGGTAACGTTGGGGTAAGTGGTAATATACGAGGGGTGGGGGTAGGGTAGGGTGGGTCGGGGTGGGGTCGAGGTGGTAGGGGGTGGCGGTAGGGTAGGGTGGATCGAGGTGGTAGGGGGGTGGCGGTAGGGTAGGGTGGATCGGGGTGGGGCCGAGGTCGGGGCATGTGGTGGGGGGTGGGGTAAGGTCATTATAGGGAAAAATGGGTACACGGGGTCGGGGTTGGGTGGGTAGGGTAGGGTAGGGTAGGGGTAAGGGGTAAGGTACGAGGATGGAGGTACCGGAAGTCCGGAATGGAATCGACATCGGAGCAGGACCGGACCCACCACTAGGTGTAAGTATGCAAATTCATTGCAAAGGCACTGTAGCATCTGCGTTTTCCAAATTTGGAAAACTAGTAAAAGTCACTTCTCCAAATCATTAAGGAAAAGAGAGACATGTTTCATTTTTTCCGTTTTGAAAAACGATTTGGTAAACGCGTTTTTCTTTTTTCCTTTCTCCAGTTTTCCAGGAATTTCTTTGGTAAACACGTTTCCTGTTTTCTGTTTTCCAGTTTTTCAGTTTTCTGGAAAACTGGAAAATATTTCTGTTAGTAAACAGGCCCTAATTGTTTGGTTCGGTTTCGATTTAGGCCGTTCAAATATGCTCATTTAAATTTAGTAATAAGTAATAACTTCAAATCTTTTTTGGAACATTATTAGTAACTTGGGATAATTTGAGTTTGCATTCCATTTTATTGTTCAAATATGATTTTGCACCCCATTTTTAAAAAACTTTGTTTTTGCATTCCAACCCATATGAAAAGGCAAAATTGTCCCTCCATTAATAATTTTGTTGTCCTTCAATATATTCCTGATCGAGAGCATTTTTGACTTTTCATATGAGGTTGGGGTGCAAAAACAAAGATTTTTACAAACAGGGTGCAAAATCCAATTTGGTCAATAAAATGGGGTGCAAACTCAAATTATCCCTAATAACTTCTTATGAGACTTGTATTGTATTAGAATGTTTTCTTTTTGGGAGAAAAACAAAAATTGACACCAAGATTTTTCACGAAGCTCGGATTAGACAATAAAGTTTTAATTAGACCAAATAAACACCAAATTATAGTTTTTGGTATATTTTGACTACCCTTTAACGCTAACCCTTCCCATCGTTAACTCCCCATCCGATTAAAGTTGGCTTGGATTCAAGAGAGCAGGCAACAATGGAGGTCGATCGCCTTGCCTAGAAGATTACCTCTGTGTCACCGCCTTGCCGTCGTACCGCCTCGCCGTCGTAGCTGCCGCTACGTCGAAGCCTACCCATTACCCATCGCAGGCTTCACCTTCGCAGAATCGCGACATCACCGAAGCTAGCTATAGCTACCGCCGTTGTTTCATCCCTACTTTGTTGTCGAAGATCTAGATCTGGCTGTGCTCCTTTAATCTGGAGCATCTTGCCGACAGCTAGGGGTGGGTAACTGTGCGGTTGTAGGCAGCGACAATAGGTGAGGTGACGACGTTGGGCATGTAACGATGACTACGAGGCTGAGAGGGGGGTTGCGAGGGGGTTATGGTTAGGGCTCGGGTGGGGTAGGGTGTTGAACTAGGGTGGGGCAGGGGCTAATGTGGGGGTCGCTTGCAGGCAGGGGCTTTTGGAATAATGGGGAGTTAATGACGGAGAAGGCTCCTTTAACGGGGGGGCCGACAAATTGATACAATATGTGAGGAAAAGGGGAGAAATTAAAGTGTCATGCATGGTACGGTGCACAGTGCACTTAGGCCGGGCTGCAACATACTCGATATACAACCACTAAGGCGTGACTTATGCCCCAAGAATGAAACCGGATTCGCTTGAGCGTTTACCAGAGCGTGGTAGAGTAGGATATTAAAGTTATTAGCACGATTGAGAATCTAGCTGGAGAGAGCAAGCATGTATTTGTAGTGACTTTTCCGTAACGGAGGGGTTGCGATTTTTTCATAGTAACCTACTGGGCCTATTATAGAGTACTCCGTTCGTTCTTTAAAATTTTGTCAAGTTTGAGATTTATTAAAAAAAGAGAGAGCTAACTATATAGAATCACAAATTGTGTACTTAAAAGGAAAAATGAGAAATTAGTGTGATGAGAATGGAAAAGTACTAATAATTAATGGTATGTACGTAGAAGCTCTTGCTCAGAGCCAATAGAGTAATAGACTAGAATCCAATTTTATATTAATATTATATTTATTAATTGATAAGCATGAATGAACCGTAACAAAGGGTTCAAATACTCATTACTAATTTTGAAACTAGAAAACAAAATCATAAAAATCCTAATCAACTCCAAATAAGAAACAGAATAATAGAAATCCTAATAAACTTCAAATAGGAAATAATTCAAGAAAATTTCAAATAATAAAAACTAATTCAATGGCCTGGAACCAGTCCATGAAGGTGGGCTCAAGCTCGTTCCCCTATTCAGTAAACTCACAGGGGCCTCTGCCTCTCTTTCTCCGAGCCAAGCTTTTGCTTTCAATAATAGTCTGATAATAAAAAATGAAAGTTGTCAAAATTTGAAACTGTTCGAGGTAGTAATAATAAAGGTAGCAATGTCCTAATGTCACTAGAATGTGATTTGACAAAGATAAATTTTAACGGTGGTGTTATGTTTTTTGATTTAGTCTATAAGAAAAGTTAGCACTACAGTTTAATAATAATGTACAGTTGTTTAAGAAATCGACACAAATCAAAGATATTAACTTATATTCACAATTATAATCTTGTGATTGTGAGGTTCGTTCTCAGTACACTACCAAAAAAAGTCGCCATTGGGTCGGATTTCGGCACAGATGGCTTCACAAAATTCCCAGACTATCGCTTTCGGCTCGGATTTGGCACGGAAACGAAATCCGACGCACCTGGCTCGTGCCAAATGCTTTGGCACGGATACCATCATCCGCCCCAACTCTTGGCTCGGCATTGGGCACGGAAGTTCCGAGAAAACAACATTGATTACTCCCGCAAAAGTTTGGCTCGGATGTAACTTGGCACGGATATTGGCCCGGAATACACCGGGTCGGGCAAATCTTTGCCCGTTTGTTGGCTCGGATAAGTTCGTGCCAAATATTTTACCAAATTTCATTCAGGTTTTTGGTACGGAAAATTTCCGTGCCACAATTAATTTAAAAAAAATGTACACCGTACATATGTACGGTATACCGTACATATGTACGGTGCACATTTTTTTTTTTACAAATCATTATAAACAAAAAATTTAACTGGAATCATATAATACTGCAGTCCAAAAAGATATAGAGCAAATTATGAACCACACATGCAAACTATAGAGCAAATGAAAAAGCACAAATAAATAGAATATTATTATGTTACAGCACTCCAGGCAGATAAACCACTGCCAAAACAAAAGTAGAAATGGCAAATAAATTGCCATTAGATGTCCAGGACCAGTACAGAAAGTTAAAGAGTTTGTTCATTACACAAATAGATCAGACAACCGCACTTCATTCGATTCATGTAGCCCATTCATATGGGCGGAGGTCGGGGTACGAAAAGGCGAGAAATCAGGTAGCGGGACAGAAGGGTTCGAGCTTCGCACTTGCTCCATGTACGCAGTAAACGCAGAAGTCATGTTCGCCATCTGAGTTTGAAACTGCTTTTCCTGCTGCGCCAAACGGGCTTCCAGCTGGTCCTTGATGAGGGAATCAATTTCCATTTGAGTCGGCCCCGATATCCGGCTGGTACATTCAAGGTCAGACATCGCTTCAGCTTCAGATCCCGTCCCAAACCGCCGGCCTTTGTATAGTGGGACCACCGCACAAAACAACTCAGAATCATCCTCTTCGTACGACTTCCCTTGCGATTCAGCCTGGGCTTTCATCTCATTGTATTTTTGCTGCACAATCAGAAGACAGGAGGTTACCAAGACATATACTCCTTATAGCAATATGAAAATCTGATATATATATATATATATATATATATATATATATATATATATATATATATATAGAGGAATGCTCCTGTCCAGACGTCCGGACAGGAGCCGCCGTCCGGCCGGCGGCGTTTGGCCGCCTTCCCGGTGGAATTTTTTGATGAAATTTTTATGGCATGTTCTCCATCAAGTCTAGTTTATCCACAAAAAAATTCAGCCAAAAACTCAATCGGGAAGGTCGTCAAATGATTTTTGCAAGTTAACTGGTCCGGAAAATACATATTCCGGACCAGTTAACTTGCAAAAATCATTTGACGACCTTCCCGATTGAGTTTTTGGCTGAATTTTTT